TTTTTTAAAAAAAAGAATTTTCGATCTTTTGGACCGAATTATTGTCCTTTTTTTTCGGAATTTTTTTCAATATTTTTTTTCGGATTCCTTTTTTTTAGAAATTTACCTTTTTTCTAACCGATTTCTTATTTATCCTTCTTATTTCCCCCAAAATTTTTTTTTATTTTTTTTTCTTTTTCTTTTTATTTTTTCTTTCTTTTTCCCTTTCGGTTTCTTTTTTCGACCGATTTTTCTCTTTGTCCCTCTTCCCAATTTTTTTTTCGGTTTTTTTCGAATTCTTTAAACCTTTTTCTTTTTTCGGGTTGGCTTTAGCTTTTTTTCCAATCCGAAAAAATTTTTTTCACTTTTTCTTTTTTCAGTTTAGCTTTTTTTTCCAACCGAATTTTTCACCATTTAGGTTTGGATCGGGTGATCGGATCGGTGCTGCAGGCAACGGTAAGCACCTTTTTTTTCGTTTCTTTTTTTCTTATTGGTAAATTTAGGATTTTTTTTTTACTACAAGATCATTTCCGCGAAATAATCGAAATAAATATATTTTTTCTTTATTTGAATCTATATAACTAAAATGAAATATATTTAATTAATATGACTATATAATAATACTTATTTAAATATTGTTTTTATATATAATGTTACTGTGATACTTTTTTTATGTAAAAATAAAAATACAATTTTCTACAAATATAACGTGTAATATTATTAATATTGTTAATACTAAAATCTATATGTCTTCTCCCCAGGAAATATTTGAAGGTGAAGCACCTGAACAACGTAAAAAGAGATTGCATAATGAAAAGCAAGCACATTATTACTATGAAAAGAGGCAAAAAAGACCAAACATATATTAACATAGAGCATCATAAACTGGGAAGGATGAATCAGATTTGCACTCAATTTTGGATAGACGAAAGAAACCATAATAGCAGCCAAACTTTTCCATCTTTCACAATGTGCTGTGCTGGTGGTAAAGTCAGTTTACCACCTCTACTTGAACCACCATCATATTTGCTAGATTTCTATACTACATCAAGTTCTAAATCAAGTTCATTTCGCAAAAATATAAGAGCCTATATTAAATTCTAATATGGTCAATTTTTTTTAAAATAAACTGCAATTAAATTTTTTATTGATTTTTTTTCCCGATAACAATGGGCACGCCGATTTTTTTTAAAAATTATATTTTTTTTGCCAACAGATTTTTTTTTTAATAATATTATTTTCTTTAATATTAGTAGTATTCTTATTTTAAATTATATTTTTTTTTAATCAATAACAATAGGGAGGAATCATCATTTCAAAATATTCAGCCACAACCATTTGGTATTGAAGTTGCATCGAATCTTTTTAATAAACTATTAGGCACTTAAGTCATTAATTAATATTTATACTATTTAACAAATAATAAAGAATAAGAATATTCCTGTTTATGTTTATAAAGCAAAATATCATATAAAAAATTGCATTTTAAATAAAAAGAAACATTTTTTATCGCTGACAGCACAATCTGCAGCCGATCTATTCCATAATTATTAGTGGGTCATGTGTATATTCGATGGGCGATGGCCAATCTGATCACTAATACAGTTCCAGTTAATGAAATTTTAATCGAATAGTTTTTTTTTTGCTAATTAACAAAGAAAAAATTTGTTTTACTAATCATGTTTCATTTTTGGCCATTCCCACCCACCCCTTCAATCTGCTGCCAGCAGATCGATTACCGTAGCTATCCGAATGTGGATTTTTTTCAGTTAGATTGGATCTTTTTTTGTTTAATAATATTGGATTTTTTTAATATTTAATATTTTTTTTTATTTTTAAAACCGAGATTTTAATTATTTTTCTTACAATTTTTTTAAAACTGAATTTTCAATATTTCTTATCCTGTTTTTTTCTCTTTATAATAATCTATACAAATATGTTTTTATGTAATTTTTTTACATTTTTTTTATGTACAGATATTATCGTTATTATTTATTTCGTTTTTTAGGCTTAGACCTAGATCAGTGATTGGACCTTTAACGTACAATTATTTTTTATTTTCTAGAATCCATAGAAACAATAAATTTCACTAAACTCAACCTAGGTACTCATTTACGTTAACTTGCTTTCTACATGGTTAATTTTACTAATAATATTAATAATTTACTTTAATAATTCGTTTTTATAGATAAAAACAACTATAGAAAAGGAAGAAAATTCACAGGTTAGACTGACGCACTTAACTGCATTTTAATAATTTTTTTTTCTTTTTTTTCGTTTTTTCACCTCTTAGGTTTTGAGCGGCGTATATATACAGTATATATTTATATATATATAGTATATACAATCAAAATAAAATATTTTTTTATTGAATAAATATACTTTGTTTGATTTTTTTAATTAGAATAAATAAATATATTTTTTTCTTACTTAAAATCAAAAAAACATATTAATATTATAAATCATAATTTATCTAACTAAAAAACAAAAATAGTATATTGATTTAAACTCATTTAATCCTGTTGAAACGCAACAGGTTGCGGCTACTATTTTTTTTTTTTTTTTTTTTCCAATTTAATCTTTATTAATATTGTGATAATTATATAATACAACCTATCACAATTTAGACGCAACGCATCCGTTAATAAAGTAACTACTCTAAATTTACACAATAAAATAAAATAAACAAAAAAACAAAATAAACTATCTATCTAAAAAATTTTTCGCATTAAAGTGCGGCTAATATTTTACTAATATTTTACCAAAAAAATTGTTATATGTGATCGACAAATAATCGGCATGGTAATGTCCGCCCCACCCCATTGTAAGGAATTAAAAAAAATATAGAATGATCAAGTATCATATATGCATCGTGATACTGATTCATTTTGAAAGCGGAAATGAAACACCTGAACAACGTAGCACGCGTCAAGCTTATGATTGGGAAAGAAGATGAAAAAAAATGGAACCTGCTTCGGACCCTCTAATCCATCACTAGTTTATTATATTTTAATATACACAAATATTATCATTGATAATTTTTAAACATTGTGTATCTAATGTTTTACATATAAATCAAAATTTTTTTTGTTCACTAATATTTTAGATAATTTTCAATTAGTTCAAGTTGATCCCGTTGCAAACCAAAGGCTTAACCGGTTAATTAACCAGCTTATAATATGAAAAATATCAAATTTTTTTTTTGCTGAAAATTGTACCGATTTTTGATATATATGTATATATATTGATTTTACCAACACATTTAGTTGAAAGAAGATTATTTTCATCAATACCATTATTAATTAATAAATAGGAACAAATTCGGTATTAAAACTTCGAGTTTGGGAACACATGACTGAAATTACCAAGTCTCCGGGCCACATTAAGCAAATCTGACCAGAATTATGGATTTATGGTCAAAATAGTTTTAACCGGTTAACATAATAACATTAACCGGTTCCAACCTCTAATGAAATATACGATGTACAAAAAAATATGAGCCTTTTTTACATATTTCCCACATATTTTATGGAACATTTTTTGTATACTGTGCATTCTCTATGTAATCAATGTATGTTTTCTGAACATTCTTTTTTATAGCGTAAGGACCCGACGCCAGCAATAGCCAATAGGTCCTGGTAAAGTCCAGAAATTTATTTAGTAGAAAAAATTGACCTGTTTCTGGTCATCAACTGCATTCCTAATATATCACATGACATAGTAATAAATATAGCTATGTATATATGGCTTGGTTTTCTTGCACGACACTGATTTGTTTATTTTACACAAATTCATGAAGCACTTCTCCTTATTCAAAAAAAAAAAACTTCTCCCTTTTTTCGAAGTACACTTTAAACATCTACTTCTCCTTTTAGACGCATTAATATAGTATTATGTCTCACTTATTTCTTCTAGCCTATTATTTTAAAAGTACTTCTTCTTTTGTTTAAAAAGAAACTTCTTTTTTAGGAATATGGGGTACATTGTTTAGGATTCTTTTTTTGTTTAAACATTTCTTTTCTTTGGGAATATTTCATTTTGGAAGTTTGTTTTAGGATTCGACACTTAAACTTTGTATAGTATTAGTTGCTTTTGATTTTTGATTCATAATTTCATATTAAATAATAATAATTTTTTTCAAAAATTTATTATTATTTATTATAAAACGTTTATGACTTATGAGTTGGTTCCATAATAGTGTAATGGTTAAACTCTGTTTTCTGTTTAAATGTGTTGAAATATTTATTAATAAATTTAGTAAATTGTAATTTATATAAGAAAGAAGCAAAATAACCTTTCAAAGTCCTTTTTTATTTGCAAAATTTTAATTTATTAAACGCTATAGTTTAAGGAGTATTTTCTAAATGTTACACAAAATTAATGGAAGTTAAGCGACACTTTGTGACTTTGAATCAAGAAAAAGGGGTGCGGTGAATAATTTTTACCGCATGGGTGTGGTATTATAAATAATTAATACAAGCCACTACAATCATTGCAACCATTTTAAAAGATTTGTTCTTCATTTCATGATTGGTGTGATGTGTTTCACATGACTGTAGATCCATGTTAGCATTTTGTGCGAGTTGCACTATAAGTTTGCGGATCATTTCGGATACAAAACTCCGTTCAGCCTTTTTCTCGTTATAATTTTTTTATCTTTCCTTTCAGAGCTTCTTTTTTAAAAAAAAGTTCAATGCCTATTATTCGAAAAGAATTTGTTCACGCAGCAATTAATCGATCAATTGCATTAATAGATTATAAAGTTCACGATGATATACATAAGCAATATGAATTTAAGAAACAAACAGTTCTACTAGCTCTTAAAAATCATAATTTATATGTTGATGATTCCCTTACAAAAGATGAAAAAACTAAAGCAATAAGACTGTTAACTAGGGATTATGATCGAGATAAAGTTCTCAGTAATTCAGGAACAAAAAGAACTTGTGAAAATTGTAGACAAAATTGTTTAGCTACATTATATTGTGAAATTTGTGTTCGAAATTATTTAAAAGCAAAATTTTCAAATTGGGCGACTGGAAATGATGATATTGATAATTTAATCCAAAAATGTCAAATGGGAACACTCTTACCAAGTAGAATAGTTGAATGGATTCCATATAATGATTTACAAAATATTAAGTATTTAACAAAAGGTGGCTTTTCTGAAATTTATACTGCAAATTGGATTAATGGATGTTATAATGGATGGAATTCTAAAAAACAACAATTAATAAGATCTAGGGCTATTAAGATAATACTTAAAAGTTTAGAAAATGTTGAAAGTGCAAATCAAAGTTGGTTTGAAGAGGTTAGTATTAAAATGTGCTTAAAGAAGTTAATAATTATCAGGGTTTGTAATAATACCTGATGTTTAAATTTATAGGCTGAATCACATTTAACCATAAGTAGCAAACGTGCTGCAATTGTCCGAAGTTTTGGTTTAACACAAAACACATCAAATGGAAATTATATGCTTGTAATAGGTTTAATGGACTTAAATTTAAGAGAATTTTTACAACAGAATCATAATCAACTTACATGGAAGGAAAAAATCAATATTACTTTTGAAATAATTAGGGCACTTTATATTATTCATTTTGAAAATGCGATTCATAGAGATTTGCATTCAGGAAATATATTGTACTCACAAATTAGTGATGGATGGTTTATTAGTGATCTTGGATTTTGTGGACCTGCTGATAAATCATCAAAATGTATATATGGAAATCTTCCTTACATAGCACCTGAATTTATTAATGGAAAAGAATATACTTTTAAATCTGATATTTATAGTATTGCAATGCTTATGTGGGAAATTTCATCACAACAACCACCATTTATTAATCATGAACATGATTACAATCTTGCAATGAATATTATTAATGGCATTAGACCAAGAATAGTACCAGGAATTCCTGTTGAATATAAAAATTTAATGGAAGAATGTTGGGATGCAGATCCATCAAAAAGACCTGATACTACTACACTTATAATAAGAATAAGAGAAATGAATTTTTATTATCAAAGTATGACAGATGAATCATTTCAACCAGAAACTTGTAATAATTTGGAGTTAAATGAAGCAAATAACATAACAAGTAATACAGATCACAGATCATTTACAAGTAAAATTCATCAATTTGAAAATCTACCTGAACCAAGAAATGCAACAGAAGGTATTGTTTTTGATACATATTGCTTTTATTATTTAAATAAATAAAATAACAATAAAGGACTTATTAGTGCAAAAGTTCATTAAGCATAATTTATTTTAACAAACAAAAGAACTAAATGTCAATTTTAATAGTAATTATTTTTTATATTACTTAATTTATTCTTTTTTTTGTTAATAAAGATGAAGAAGATGATGAAGTATATAATAACCCAAATCTTCATTCTGAAGAACAAGATGAATTGGAAATTCCTAATGGTAAAAAATTCATTATTTTAAAATGTAAAAAATATATAATTTAATTTGCTAATTTTTATTATTGTAAATATTTATTTTTTTTTTTTTTTTAGATATTTAGGTACAAATGATTTTATAAATTTGTTACCATCTCTTATTATAAATATTTTTTTTCAATCATTGTTAATGATTTATATTTATTTATATTTATTAAAATTATTTAACCACTAAGGATTAGAGTAGTAAGATTTATTACAAATTTCTTAAATATTCATGTGTAAAATTATTAACGCTATATTTTAAATAAAATTTTATAAATTTATATTTATATTTGTTATTCAAAAATATTTTTTTCTTGATAATTTTTGAATGAAATCTATTAATTATTCCAAAAATTAAAAACGCGTTAAGAATTTATAAGATTGAAGTTACATTTTGATGTACGCAATCCAACATATCAAGATTTATTAATTTTAAAACAATTTATATTAAACTATTGAAGGGAAACATCATAAGAATGCGCAAAATGAAAAAAAAATAATTACGACTTTATCTATTTTATTACAAGTAAAGGCCATTTTTCAGAAAGGAGTAAATTAAGTGCGAGATATTTTCATTAAGCAGGCGCAATAAACGGATCATGAATGATGATTTAAATTTATATTATTTGATTTGAAAATATTTTATACTTCATTATTATTTTCTCTTCATCCGTTCTCTTTAAAGACATGCATTGACTCGAAGAATAAACTCTTGAAGACGTAGTTGAACATAGAAAATTAAGTATTATTCACATACAGTACATTCCATACATTGAAATAGGAAATACGATTTTATTAAGTAAATAATTATGAAGTAAAGTCGTCTTTTGCTTAATAGAAGTACCTCTATATCGAAAGATCACAGTGGATATGATTGATGATGTTTATTCCAAAATAAAAAATTTTAAGTTTCAATAATCAAGGAGAAAGATCAATTAGTGTCGTGTAGACTAAAGAAAAGCTAAACACAAAAAATCAAGCGAATTTTAAGTCATTTTTTAAAAATTTTCTTAATAATTTATAATTTAAAATAATATTTGATAAAATTATTCTTGATGTTTCATTGTACAGTCAAAACTCGATATAATGACTAGTATGCGATATAACGAATTTCACGATAAAGCGATTTCTTAAGATTTTATCTTTATACTACTGTACATGAACATATAAAAATCGTTATATCAAACTTATAAATTTTGATATAACGATTTTTATTCATCGAACCGAAGGGTTCGTTATGTCGAGTTCTGACTGTATGGTATTAAATATTTTTGATGAAATGACTCTAATATTAGTGTAAGCTTAGCTGAACTAAATAATGCCATTCATCCATTTTACTTACAGCCAACAAATTATTTATACGAACAACACCGACGTGGCTGGCGTATGATTTTCTTAAACTGAAATTGTGTATTTCAATTTTCATCCTGAGATAATATCGACATATGATACTTTTTGTAACACAGGGAACGTAAATCTTGACGTAACTATTAACGCCGAATTTGAATTGAAGTGAATGAATTAAATAGTTATATTAATTTAATTTGCATTGTTACAAGAATTTGTTGTTTAGAAATTTAAACTTTCAGTCATTATAATATCCTGATACGTCATTTATAAACGTCTTTGAAAAATATTATCTTCCGAATCCAATAAATTTTGGTCAATTTTAAATTATTTACAAGGTTCCATTTTTGTTAATTTTTTCTTATTTTATTTGTCAAGAAAAAGAAATTTAAAGAAATAATATTATTGTATTGAATTACGTGAAAAACGAAATGTTTCATGTTTACGTAATAAAATATCAGTGATCTTTTTACAGTATACTATCTGAGGAAAGTTTGATTAAAAAATGGAAATCAGGTTAGAAGTCAATAATATCACAGAATACATAAAATCATTCATAAATTTCTTTAGTTCCGTAAAAATTAATTATTATTCATGTGTCACGTAAATTATTTCTTAACGAAGTTGTTTAAATATTTTTGCTCGATGTATTATGTCGAAAAATAAGAAAAAGTTAATTTGTCAGTAAGTATTAAATATTGCTATTAAGCTAAATCATCAATTATTAAAATCAGAGAAAGTAGAGATTTTGCAGTAATTATATAATAAATACGTTCCAAAGATGAGAATTTCATTCTCATAACAATTTATTAATGATGAAATTGGTTTTTAATGTAAAAACACGAAGTCTATTCAAAAATAATAATATATTCTTTACCTCTTCGCGCTGAATTTTAAAAGAATGTAAGGATTTTTTTAAATAGATATCATTAAAGGTTCTATTTCATTAATTGTTGTTTCTATTTTGTTAACTTGTATTTGATTAATAAATAAATAAAAAATAATGAAGTTTGATGTTAATAAGATTCTTTAATTTTGCCCATAAATCACAGGCATATTCACTCTATCAATCGCATGACTTCTATAACAACAAATCAAAATGTCTAAACGTACTAACCGTGGTAAATCAATAAACAGTAATATAAGACATCTGAATTAATCTTTATAGAATATAATTTTGAATAATCATCCGATCCTTTTCACTACCGCTATCATGATCTGCGTCTTCGGTGTTAAAGCTTAAATTCTGTAATAAAGTAATAACAGATAATTAGTTTTAAAGATTTTTGCGCGAAAAGGATGACAGGAAACATCACATATAACCTGTCACGTGATCATACGTGTACACAAAATACCATACAGATTTACACTGTTTATTACCAAATAAGGAAAGACCTAGACCGATCCACGCGTGATATTTAACAATACATATTATCCATACACGACATATTATCGTAACACCCGCAAGGAGGGAGAGAACATTTTGTGCGACACTGGGTAAGTTGCACCTACTTTAAATAAATTTCGCTCAGCCTATTATTTTTTGTTGTACAAACTTATTTTCTCGTTTCAATTTATAAAAATCAAATTTTTTATAAAAAATTCTCATGTCTGCTATTCGAAAGGAAATTGTTGATGCAGCAATCAATAAATCATATTCATTGATTAATTATAATGTTCACAATAACATACACAAAAAACACGAATTTATAAAACAAACAATTCTTTCTGATAATTCTCTCACAGAAGATGAAAAAACTTATGCAATAAATGTGATAGTTCAAAGTTATGATCGAGATAAAATTCGTAATAATTCAGGAACAAAAAGAACTTGTGAAAATTGTAAACAAAAATGTTTAGCTACGTTATATTGTGAAATTTGTGTTCGAAATTATTTAAAAGCAAAATTTTCAAATTGGACATCTAGAAATGTTAATATTGATAACCTAATCCAGGCATGTCAATCGGAAACACACCATCCACGAATGATAGTTGAATGGATTCCATATAATAATTTACAAAATATCAGATATCTAACAAAGGGTGGTTTCTCTGAAATTTATACAGCATTTTGGATTGATGGAAGATATAATGAATGGGATTGTAAGGTACAACAATTAAAAAGACTCGGGAGACAAAAAGTGATACTTAAAGAGTTAGAAAATGTTGAAAGTGCAAATAAAAGTTGGTTTGAAGAGGTTTTGTAATCCAAATAATGTATTTATTATTACAGTTACTAGTTTTATATATTAATAAATTTTTAAAACTTACATAGGCTATATCACATTTAACTACAAGCAGTAAAAACTCAGGAATTGTCCAATGTTTTGGTTTAACACAAAATATATCAAATGATAAGTATATGCTTGTAATGGAAATAATGGATATAAATTTGAGACAATATTTACAACAAAATCATAGTAAACTTACATGGAGAGAAAAAATCAATATTACTTTTAATATAATTAAGGCACTTTATTTTATTCATCTTGAAAATGCAATTCATAGAGATTTACATTCAGGAAATATATTGTATTTACAATTTAGTGATGAATGGTCTATTAGTGACCTTGGATTTTGTGGGCCAGCTGATAAATCATCAAAATGTATATATGGAAATCTTCCTTACATAGCACCAGAAGTTATTATTGGAAAGGAATATACTTTTAAATCTGATATTTATAGTATTGCAATGCTTATGTGGGAAATTTCATCTGGGCAACCACCATTTGTTAATCATGAACATGATTATAATCTTGTAATGAATATCATTAATGGTATTAGACCAAGAATAGTATCAGGAACTCCTGTTGAATATAAAAATTTAATGAAACAATGTTGGGATTCTGATCCATCAAAAAGACCTGACATATATCGATTTTGGGGAAAGATAAGTGAAATGAATTTATATTATCAAAGTAGTACATCGGAGGAATAACTTCAATCAGAAACATATAATAATGTGGAATTAAATGAAACAAATAGCTTGATAAGTACGAATAGTAGATTATTTACAAGTAAAATTCATCAATTTGAAAATCTACCTGAACCAAGAAATGCAACAGAAGGTATTATGTTTAGGGTATATTTTTTTATTACTTAATACATAAATAATAATAAATTTCACATTATTTTATATTAAAATAAAAATAGAGGAATTAGAAGGTAATATAAATTTATTAATCTAATATCTATAAATTTTTTAATTTTCAGATTATTTATACAATAATTCATTTTGATATTTTGACTAAATATTTTATTTTAAATAGCATTTCACAGTAATCCATATGATTTTAGTATTCCCACTAATAGTAAGTATTTTTCAAATTGTAAATTTATTATATAGTGATATATTATTCAATTATCAATTATACATTTTCTTTAGTTGATGATTTTAATAAATCAAGCAATCAGAGTAATAGTAATACACAGTATTTTTAAAGGTAACTAATAGATTTCGATAATTTTTTAATGACAATTAGATAAATAAATAATAATACTGTGTGTTTTCAAATTTAGCAAATAGCAAAAATTTATCCGAAACATTTGAAAAGTTGCAAATAAATGATGGTAAGTAAACAATCTAATATTATTTATTTAGCGCGAAATTCATTAAACATAATTTATATCAATTAATATAATAAGAAACAGTGCAAAAAACGAAAGGATCAATTGTTATTTATAATGGTAAGACTAGAAAATATACACATTTTAATGACTATTTTTAAATTTTTTTTTTAATTATTCTTATTTCGTTATTAAATATGATGAAGATGAAATAAACAATAACCCAAATCTTCATTCCGAAGAACAAGATGAATTGGAAATTCCTAATGGCAAAAAATTCATTATTTTAAAAAATGCGGGTATTGCTAAATATCACGGTGGATTTATTATGTAATGCCGGCCAGTGTTTTATTGGATTTTAATTCCGGCCAAAAGTACATCACCACTGGTGAGATTTAGCAATTTTCAATTATATTTAATTTTTTTTTCATATTTTAATAAAATTATTTAAACACTAAAGATTAGTATAGTAAGGTTCCTTACAAATTTCTCAGTTTGTAATTTAAATAATTCATATATGTAAAATTATTAACTCTCAAAATTTATAAATTTATATTTTTATTCATTGTTTTAAGAAAAAATGTTTTTTCTTGATAATTTTCAAATGAAATCTATTAATTATTAATTAAAAATGCGTTTAAAAAGTATATATACTAAAATAATTTATAATATTGAAGTTACATTTTAATGTGCTCAATCCACAATTAAGATTTATTGATACTTATCTTGGTAAAAATAATTCATATTAAACTATTGAAGAGATGAATAACATCATAAAAATGTGCAAAACGAAAAATAATTACGACTTTATTTTATTTTATTACGAGTAAAAGGCCGTTCTCAGGAAGGAGTAAATTAAGTTCGAGATATTTGAACAAAAATCTCATTAAGCAGCGCAGTAAACAGATCATAAGTGATATATTTTAAATTTATATTACGATATTTAATGTGTGAAAATACTTTATACTTCATTATTATTTTCTCTTCATCCATTCACTTTAAAATGAAATATTTATTGACTCGAAGAATAAACACTCAAAGACTTAAATTACAGCTGATTTCATAATGTACGGAACAGTCGGGACAGTCGGGACACCCATCATTTTTACTCCATGCCGAGAGAAACTCGGTAAGATTCGGTATAACTCAGAATAAAATAAAAACTACACCACTGTGCTCGGACCAGTGCTCCGAATTTAACAATATGGTTTTACCTTATTATGAACTTTACCGAGTTTTACCGAATTACCGAGTCGTCTCTCGGTAACTATTAGGTGTCCCGTACATTATGAAATCAGCTGCCAAACCCTAAAAGCATATTAGTGTCAGCCGGCACTATTAGTCACGCGTGACTGGAATCATGTGACATTTATCCAATTAAATTAAAATAATGTGGGCTGAATGAATGGACATTAAAATTTTTATTAAAATTATATTTTATTTAAATTAAATTAAATTATTTTGAATGACCATATATTTTTCATCTTATTGTTTTGAAATAATAATGAATAGACATGTTGATTTACAATTGTTAAAAAATTTTGTCATCATTTAAATATTTTAGATATAGGCGAATTTTAAGTCATTTTTTTTTTTAAAAAAAAAAATTAAATTATTTGTGAAATTTTTATTTTTTTATTTTAAATTCAGGGCAAACGTTCTTAAAAATTTTCTTAGTTTGTAATTTAGGATAATATTTGGTAAAATTATTCAATTATTCTTGAGCAAAATTTTGATAAAATAACTCAAACGTCACAAGAGAATCGGACTATGTAAGCTTAGCCGAACTAAATAAATTTAGACATTTTGCGCCTCATTCTCATGATGCAGAAAATTTTTAAGTTGTTTTTATTATGATGTATAAATCTTTAATTTATTTAAGTTACCTGAATCACCTGATCTAAATTCTTATGAAAAAATTCTATTTGATGAAGAATTAACTACTCATATCAAAACTTCTATGTCAAACCATAAATGTTTCTTTGTAATGAGTACTGTACTCATAGTTCATATTATGAATATACTTCATACTAGTATTCTATCAGCTTGAAATATGTTGTTATTGTTGTAAATGGAATCAAGTACGTCAAAATAAACTTTAGAATCTATTTGAGGTAAGGAAATTTTAACAACTTTCTGCTCAGGTCCCTTCAACTTCTTCTCCTCTGCTATCTTTTTATTAATATCAGCGATTAACTAATAGAATCATTAGCAACATTCATTAATAAACAATACAGATATATTGCAGTCATCATATTGGAACTTTCCAAAAAAAGTGTGCGTGACAGTCAAAATTAAAACACAAAAATTTACTACTCATATCAACGTAATTTTTCGAAGATTCCATTGAGTTGTAGAGGTTAACGTAAATGATTTATTTTTAGCGGAAGTAGAAGTAAAATCTACGATATCTGACATTTGTGTTGTATACTATACGTTCGGTTACAGTAAAAAAAGGTATGTTACGTTCGGAAAATGTTGATGAAAAAATTATTTGTGGGCAATTGATGGTATATATGAAAAGTATGCAAATTGCACGAACAGCGCCAACACAACCTACTCTCATGATTATGCGATAAAAATCACCGCCATAAATGAAGATATATGTATATATATATATAATGAATGAAGATATATATATATATATAATGATGTAAAATCCTCGAGCCATTTGAGATTAATGTCGGTCAGCACTATAATTTTGGCCTACATTTATACTTTAATTTTTTTAAAATATAACCAAATGATTAAATGTCATGCATTAATTAATTTAAAAATTTAACTCGTGAACTGATGAATTGCAATAATGTAAATATATTATATTCAGAATTAATCATATTTGATCATAAATTTTTTTATCACACTTCCCACACATTTCACAATTCATACGAATGTTAACTACAATGAAATTATTTACTAGCAAAAAAAAAAAATGAATACCATTGATGAATAAAAAAAATTGGACGGACGCTTTTAGTTGTTTAGTATAGTCTTCTATTGAACTTTCTACGTTTTTCCTCATTATTACAATCAACAATTAAGTATTTGGCAGCTAAATATAAATGACATAATTATTTGTAAGGTTATAAAAAGAAATAATTAATAATATATACCTCCAGTTAATAACCCGTGTTCCTTTAAGATACTCATACAATGAATCGCTGCTTCCGCTATAAAATCAAATCGAGTATTAAAATATAACGTGAAAATGAATTACACAGTATTGAATTAATTTTGACATTTTAACGTAAATACTATAAATAGCAAGATCGCGAGATCTATTCACTTCCCACATATGAAGAATATTAATTCAAACGGAAATTATATATGTTGCGTTTCTACAAAAAAATGAAATATACTTTTTGCAATGGATACAACATATTACCATAAAGAAAAACAATTTTATTAATAATTACTAATTATAACTTTATTAGTAAAAAAAAGTAGAATATAAAATGTAAAAAAGAATAGAATATATAATGAAAAATAGAATATATAATGAAAAAAATAGAAAGTATAATTATAACATTAAAAATCGTTCACTCCATATAAAGATCTAGTATCTTTATCAATTACTCCTTCATCATAATATTCCTGTACAATTTCAATATGCTTTTGGGTAAAATGATGACATTTATGAAAATGTGTGACAAATTTAATTGGGTTTCTACCTCTCCAACCTTCAAAAAAATTTTTTAGATTATTAACTGAAAATCTCCAATCTTGATCAAAAGCAAATTCATCAAAATTTCTTGATGAATAATTTAATAAATAATTTAATATTTCATCACAAATAATTTCACGTTCATGATCATCATCATCATCTTCAAAATTTATAAAAATTTCTAATTTTCTTAATTTATTACAATTTAAGATAATTTCTTTCACACCACCTAAATTTTTCAAATAAGTATTAATACTTAATCTTTCAATATTTGGACAATTTTTAGCAATTACTTTGAATAATTTTATCTCATATAAAACTTCTTCCCCCAAAATTCATTCCATATATTAATTTCTTTAATGTTTTGAGAATTTTCAATTAACCTACAAACTCCATGAGGTGATAAATATTGTGTTTCGAGATATTGAAGTTTTGGAAAAGAAGCAATTAATAAATACTTTTTCCATTCTTGTATATCTTGTTCTGATGAATAACAGCGACGTTCAATTATAAGCTTTAATTGCTCTAAATTTATTAATGATAGCAAGAATTTTGGTGAGAGCATGACGTTCTCTAAAGTAAATCGTTTTAATGTAACTGCTTTTTTTTTCTATTGTTTCACTTAATTGTATACATTTCATTTCACTTTTTTCGTTATGTAAGTAAAGTGATTTGTAAAATTTTTTGATTATCAATAAATTTTATTAATCCTGGAATATATTTATCACAATTCCATAATTTCAAATTTTCAATATCTTGACAAATTTGTGCCATTCCTAATAAATTATCTGAAATCAAACTTTCATTACATGTAATATAAAGGGTACGGAGTTGAGAAAAGCAAGTTGATGCCCCAGGATATTGATATAAGGGTAATGTTGTATACCAACGAAAATATGTAATATTCTTACAATTATTAATAAATAATTTATAATATTCTTGTTCCAATATTTTATATTTTTCTTGATATTCATTAGAATTAATTACTTCTTTAATTAATCCAAACCCCATATCAATGATAAGATTTGATGAAATTTCGGAAGAAAAACTAATATAATTAAATAATGGTTTATTTGAAAAAGGAATTGAAATTGAAATAACATTATTTTCAATTAATAACTTTTTTAAAGATGTTGGTAATAAGTCAATTATTATATTATAAAATTTAATAAATTGTAAAATTTCATGATTTCCTATAATATAAGAAACTCTTTTTAAATTTCGATGATTAAGAAGAAACTCATGAGGTTTTTCCCATAATATTTGTACTCCTATAATACACTAAAATCTATTCACCAAAATATGAATATAAAGAATTTGGAACATATTTCAATTCAGTAAAAATAATCCTAAGACAATCTTCAACGAGATGTGACATATTTCAAAATCTTGAAATGTTGGGGGAAAAAAAGATATAATTCTCTATTTATTATTATTGTAAGCCACAGATTTGAGTCGCACAATTTGAGTCACACAATTTACACAATTCTAAGATCAAATTAAAGCTTAAACCTTTTTAATCTTTTTATAAGGAGTCTCGACTTATAAATGAAAAGTATGATCAAGATCAAATTGTGTCTATTTAAATACTTAATAATCTTAAATAAATGTGTTTTTTTTTTAATTAATTTTTCTAAAAAAAATATCCCATGTCGATATTGACGGTTACAAGTGTAATCAAGTATATTTTTTCACACTGTATACTATAAATTATAGAATTCGGCTAATATTTGGCTTATAGCAAGTTTGCATAATATGCATGTTTACCTTATGAAATAAAAAGTATACTGCAATTACATTGACTTAATATTTTAACATATATTTAATAACCCAGTATTGCCAAATAAGAATTTTTTTACGTTCAATAGTATATGGTAATTGTATTTAATCGCTCTATTGGTCATACAGTAGAGTTTCAGATAGTCATTGTTCAATAGTCTAAAAGGAGGTAAACACGTTCCTTCAAAATATTACTACTTTTAGTGAAGTCTAGTGGCTTATCTGATATATGACAATTGACGAATAAAAATATTTTAGATATAGGCGAATCTTAAATCTTAAAATCTTGAGAAATTAAATAGCAATAATTATTTATTTATTATATTTATATAATTTATTATAATCAAATTTGAGTATCCATAATGAATCATTCTCATGAAAGTGGAGTTCGGAGTATTCCGAGATATTTCCAAAAGACAAATGTAATAGAAATAATTGTTAAAATTTTACTATTGTAACATTAGTTCTTAATCGATCTTGATCAATATCGATAACGGAATAATCAGACTAAAGAAAAACAGGCGCCCTATTGGACGAATTAGTTTGTTATATTCGAACAATGATTTGTGCTTTCTTTGCTTTATAAACAATTATTAATAAATGACTTTCCATTGTCAAAATTTCAAAGGTCAGATCAATATTTTGTAGTTACTATTAAAGTAGAAATTTGAATTACACTTCATTAAAACCAATTAACAATCAGTAAAACATACGTGTTGTTACTTTATAGTATAACAATAACTTTATTTGTAGAACAAATCCAAATACGAAAGAAAATTTAAAACAATTTACATAAATCAAAGATGTAAATTAAGGCTATACTAAATTGATGTAGATAGTATGAAATAAAAAAAATTTAACATTGCTATCAAATATAACTGAAGATTTCACGATGTATAATAATGGGGAAAATAAAAATAAAAATAAAAATAATAAAAATATAGAAATAATGATCTCCATTGACCAGTTTAAATATGATTACTTTCAAACTCTCCCAAAGGTGTGCTGAGTCCTGTTACTTTTCCGACTTTAAGATCTAAGCCTGCAACATTAGCTTCTACACCATCGCTGCTAATTGATGCACCTGTATCAACACTTGCTTTAAGACCTTCAGCTTCAACTTTTATCAAATCAGTACATTTTCCTGTATCAACATTAAGTCCAGATATTGCTTTGAGTCCTCCAGCTTCAAATTTTATCAAATCAGTACATGTATTTATTTCAACACCAACTTTTTCAGACATCTTAATGAATTGTAAATATTAATAGAAGTATATTGTTCTTTGGTTATCTTTATAGAAGTTACTTTATATTAATATAGGAAATATTTAAAAACTTTATTAAAAATAGAAAGTAGGACGTTCAGACAGTGGAGGAGAAGCAACAATCGCAATATTTACAAGATTTAAAAGATAACAACTTGTAATTAAATAAACAAGAAAAAAGCACTAGATTTTCTGCTCTTGAAACGAATGCAGCATTTTAGTAATGAATCAGGGGTATAAATAGTTAAAATGTTGATTATAAACTGATTTACAACCAAACTTTGCATATCAGCAAAAATTTTCCCGTATATAGTTGTATAAAAAACTAATGGAGGAAAATTCGCTTTGCAATTGACTATTCGGTAACTTTATGAATATGTATATTTTTTCGATTCCGAAAAAGTAAAGAAATCATCTTAACTTTCATTCCCATATGAATTTTTAATTTTTTTTTATAGTAAAAAAAAATTGCTTCGATTATCATTTACAATCTAATTTGGCATATTGGGCATTTCTTACCTTACGCCTCTTACGCCTATCAAAATATTAGCACCTAATTTTATGTTTATATAATCGTATTAAAGTAGTAATCACTAAGTATTAATTTTATTGGTTCAAAATTTTCAAATAATAAATTACATATTCGATATTATTTTTAAAAAAAAAAAAATTTATATGGGTATATAAAATTTTTAATTTTATAGAGAAATTTTAGGGAGAATTTTGTAATTATTTTTTGATAATGAACCATTTGAACCATTTATGATAAAATTTTATGACGCGTAATTTGTGTCGCACAAAAGATTTAAAATTTCCCTCGTGTCGATCACTGATTTTTCATTTACAACCTGATTCGACATTATTATTATAATTATTCCTTTATGAGATTTTGGTATTAATTCTTTTAGTAAAATCTAACCTGGATAGATGCCAATTATGTTTTAAACCTTGATAAAAAGACCATTTACGACTTGTTTGGAAATTGTTACAATACACGTAATTGAGAACATCATGAAAAAAAAGTTGGTAATTTATAAACGAATTTGTCAATAAAATACACGAACTAAAATATATTTACTTCACTATCAAAAGTATTCTTTTTTTAAAAAAATATGAATTATTCATCCACTTGTACTACAACATGGTTTGTGTTATTTTCAAATAAACCAACTACGGGCTGTTAATAATTTTTTAACCGACTTTAACACTTTAGAGATCATATGCCAGTATTATCTGCTATCAATCAAGGATACTTGCCAAAATAAGTGATTAACATAGTACAACGAAGTAATTCAATCTCAGAATCAAGTTAAAAGTTGGACTGACATTCTAGTAACTTCGAACTAGAATTTACAATAATTTCGGCCAAAATAATGACGTGAGAAAATTCTGCGCAAGTTACTTAATTCATAAAATTCACATATTACATAATGCAATAAGTGTTGTATCTACATTTAATACACGTATCTTCTTAACTAAACTAAACTTTAATTAGTCTATTCATTAAAACTTTGCGTATAACAATACCTTTGTTAAGAAAACTTACTTCAACATCGATAATTTGTAATTCTGACAATTTTTTGTTTTTGAACTAAATGAAACCTTACATAAATTCGTCATTTATAGTTAAAAGTTTGCAGGAAAAATTTCCTGTATTTGTATATGAAGGTATACTAGCTCTCCTTATATGTATTTCAACCGAATCGTTCAATCAAATATTAACTCGCCCTGTAAAAAATCTGATCCGTGTTTTATCTTTCCATGTTTTTTCCGTGAATGTATCATTTTCACGGAATTTTTACGGAAGACATGGAGAAATAATGGAAATATTCGGATAAAAATTTTTTATAGGGTCGTATATTTAAATAAACTCGCTAAAAAATTATGAATTTACAATTGAGCCCCGATCTAGAGGCAGTTCCTCCAAGAATTTATTCTAAAATTATTTGTGCCAGTTCTTTTTTATTTAGTCTAAATGATTGATCCAGTTTACTACAATCATTTTACATGATGAAAAAAAAATGATGAAACTTTTCAAAAAAAAAATAAACGTGATAGACAAATGACAGATAACGTGACTAATATTTGTTATTGTGTCATGTTGATCATGAGATCTCGGTGAAACATTTTGTGCGACACTGAGTAAGTTGCACCAACTCTAAATAAATTCCGTTCAACCTATTTTTTTTTTTTTTTTTTTTTTTTTTTTTGTACTAATTTCAATTTATAAAAATCTTTCACTTTAAATCTTTTTAAAAAAAAAATTCCATGTCTTCTATTCGAAAAGAAATTATTTATGCAGCAATTAGTAAATCACATGCATTGATAAATTATAGTGTCCACAATGATATACACAAACGGCATGAATTTAAGAAACAAACAGTTCTTGCTGATAATTCTCTTACAGAAGATGAAAAAACTTATGCAATAAGACGGTTAACTAAAGATTATGATCGAGATAAAATTCTTTTTAATTCAGGAACAAAAAGAACTTGTGAAAATTGTAATCAAAAATGTTTAGCTTCATTATATTGTGAATTTTGTGTTAGAAATTATTTAAAAGCAAAATTCTCAAATTGGACATCTGGAAATGATGATATTGATAATTTAATCCAAAAATGTCAAATGGAATTAGCTAGACCAGATGTGATAGTTGAATGGATTCCATATAATAATTTACAAAATATAAAGCATTTAACAAAAGGTGGTTTCTCTGAAATTTATAAAGCAGTTTTGATTAATGGAAAATATGAAGAATGGGATTCTAAAAAACAACAATTAGAAAGATTTGGTGATCAATACGTTGTCCTTAAAGAATTAAAAAATGTTGAAAATGCAAATCAAAAATGGTTTGAAGAGGTTTGTAATTTAAATATTTTAAAAGAAATAATAATTAATCAGTTTTTATAGTAACCGACTCTTTTAATTATAGGTTAAATCACATTTAACTATAAGTAATAAATGGCCAGATATTGTTCAATGTTATGGTTTAACACAAAACATATCAAATGGAAATTATATGCTTGTAATAGGTATAATGGATTTAAGTTTAAGAGAATATTTACAACAGAATCGTAATCAACTTACATGGAAACAAAAAATCAATATAACTTTTGAAATAGCCAGGGCACTTTATTTTATTCATAAAGAGAATGCAATTCATAGGGATTTGCATTCGGGAAATATATTGTATTCACAACTTAATAGCCATTGGTTTATTAGTGATCTTGGATTTTGTGGACCAGCTGATAAATCATCAACGAATATATATGGAAATCTTCCTTACATAGCACCAGAAGTTATTATTGGAAGAGAATATACTATTAAATCTGATATTTATAGTATTGCAATGCTTATGTGGGAAATTTCATCTGAACAACCACCATTTATAAATTATGAACATGATTACGGTATGGCGATGAATATTATTAATGGTATAAGGCCAAGAATAGTACCAGGAATTCCTGTAGAATATAAAGAATTAATGGAACAATGTTGGGATGCTGATCCATCAAAAAGGCCTAATACTTATACACTTTGGTATAGGATACAAGAAATGAATTTACGTTATCAAAGTACACCAGATGAATCATTTCAACCGGAAATTAATAATGAGCTACAGTTAACAAATAATATACATAGTAGATTATTTACAAGTAAGATTCATCACTTTAAAAATTTACCAGAACCAAGAAATGCAACAAAAGGTATTATATTTAATATGTATTATTTCTATTATTTAAAAATATATTACAATATTAATTAACGTTACTATTTTTTATATTAAATAATCAATAGAAGAATTAGAAGGTAATATAAACTTATCAACTTTTATATGAATCTTTTGATGCGGTCCGATTAAATTAAAATATTTTATTTTAAATAGCATTCTATAGTGGTAACAACCCAAATCTTCACTCTAAAGAACAAAATTATCTGGAAATTCCTGATGGTAAAAATTTGTTATTTTTAAAATACGAAAATATATTTCTTCAAATTACTAACTTATATTATTTATAAATATTTATTTAGATACAAATGAATTATAAATTATTTTTATTGTCAACTTTCATCAATTCAATCTCGTTATAATTAATTTATTTTTCGTTAATTATTATAAAAATATTTTAAATATTTTAATTTTTTTTTACTTGTATTTTATTTCAAATTATAAATTATTTAAACACTAAGATTAGAGTAGTAACTTTTCTTACAACAGTTCTTAGTTTGAATAATTCGATTTACTTTTATATATATAATAAATTATTAACTCTTTATTTTAAATAAAATTTAAAATTTTTATGTTTAAAAAAAAAAATGTTTTCTAATCATTTGAACGAATTCTTTCAATGATTGAAATTGAATTTGAGAGTAAAAACTACGTGTACTTAAAAAGAATTTGTTGAAATGTTATTTCAATATATTTGTTTTAATTCCACGTCAATATCCATTTTTAACATAACAGGTGTAATTCCAACATGAAATACCGCTTGAAAAGAAATAAGTTTATGAGATTATTTTTTTTTGATTACCACCTGATATAGTTTGAACATTTTGACCTGTGTAATAAATAAAATTGATAATAAATTAAGAATACTTTTTTGCAAGGAAATAGAATATAGATACGAGAATCCAAAATTTTATATTATTGCTAAATTCGTTTATATGGAAATTAATAGAGCGCTAAAAAATATTATGAAAGAAAAATAAATATCAGTATGTTTTCTTTAAGATCGTTAATGTTTTTATTTATTTTATTACCGGTATTATTATTTTTTATTTTATGTATAAGATATATAAATATAACATTTTCAAATTTTCAATCAAATGTGATGGACAAGAACCAGATAGATCATAGATGTATTCAACCAGATTGCAATATTCAGCGGTTCCAGATTAAAATCGATTGAAGAATCATTTGCGATAGTTTGTTTTAATTGACATAAATTAAAATTTTACAACTTTTTTTTTCAATTTTATCATGAATAAAATTTAAAATAGAAAAGATTCTTTATGCATTATAAAGTTTTTAACTGGTTATTTTGGATTTTAATCCAGTTAAGAAACTTGTCAACCGTATACGATCCATACAGTCAAAAAACATTGCCCCTCACGTCACTTAGATTTTAATATATAGCAATTTTGATATTAAATTTAGATATTAAATTAGACATTGTTATTTTTGTGTACGTATTGTTAAAAATGTAGATTCTAATGACGAAACTAACGAAGTTAAAAAAGTTTTCTATTAATTCATTTAAAATCAAAAAATCAAAATTTTTCATGAATATTCAAGTGATTAATCAATTACGATTAAAACTTTACAAAATTTTCATCATAACATTTCATTAAACCGCAGGTCAAAACGGATGTTCCTTAATCCTTATTTACTTGATTCTTTTTTTTTATAGTAATTACAAGAAGTATATTCAAATTCAATAAATTATTTTCACGTTGAACAGTTTTTGTGCATTTTTTATATTTTGTCTTTTTATTTTGTACAAATATCATTTAACTAAATTATTTTGAGAGTCGTGTAAATTTATTAATTTTTATCTTAATGAATAGTTTTTTTTCTTTGTGCATGTTTTTTATGAAAGAATAAATATTAATTACTAAGTTAATCGCTCATTTTTATTATAATGACCTAAATTATAGGTTATGCCTTACGGTGTCCAGTTCCGTCAATTTTAGCACAGTCATGTGAATTTGGGTCCGGATCATCAGGTCCAGTGATTCGCTTAAAATTACTTGGGTCCGATTGATTATACACGACTTTTTTTTTTTACTGTTCGCTTTATAATGAAAGTTATTAAAAAAATTTCATATTTAATGAAATAATGGTTTTAGTAATGATATAGTATAAATTGCTAGGAACCTCTTGTTTCAATAAATTAAGATGCAATTAATTTTTGTTAAAGTTTTTAACCATTTTATTGTATAAAAAATGTTTATTTAAATCTACAACTAATAATTATTAAATACAAAAAAAATAAATAAATAAAACATAAGATCGGTCATGAAAATTTAGTTCGGTCCGATTGACCAAAATCACAGGACTCGGCACAATACATTCAGTCGAAGTCTGATCAAAGTTTAAATTCGGTCTGCATCAAAATTTTCATGACTGTGCTAAAAATTGACATGACTGGACTCAGGAAGATCATCGGACCGGACTCAGTAAAGATATACTCTAAATTATCATTCATTACTTAACAGGTTAATAATTACAGGTCTTGGCAATTTATTTCGTAAGTTCTACAATTATTTACGTCTATTTTATTTCTTTTATTCGACCTAAGTAATCTAAGTGATTAACAAAAAACCACCACAAACATTTTAAAGAATTTTTTTTAAAAAAAATAAAATAAAATAATGAAACTAATGAATCTTCTTAGTACATAAGCCAAGAAATTGTTACTTTTTAAACATGAAAATAATGAATGAGACATGAGCATGTGTGTGTTGCCACCAATTCACGTTAAGTACAAGGTGGTAACAGAAAATAAAAGAATAGTTTATGATCAAAAGGTAATGGCTTGTGCGTTTAAAATGAGAATTTCAAAAATAAATTGAAAATGATGAAATTATGATATTGATGACTTAATACAAAATGTCAAATAGGACATGATAGTTGAATGGATTATGGATACCATGTCAAAATTCTCAAAGTATTCGTTAAAACCCAAAGAAACTTTAAAATTCTAAAAAAAAACTTATCTTTTTCTCTCCTCAATCTTGAAGAATATTTATAATGTAAAATTCTTAATGGACAATTTAATTAAGCGTTAAGCGTCAAATTTGACGATCAAATTTTGACTATGATATGCTGTGGCAGTTAGATCTACGTCCCACTCGTCCCAGTTCATCGACTATATAACAAAAATCTAACTAAATCTATAAATCTAAACTGAAAAAAAAACTCTTTCGGTCGATCTTTCTGACCAAACTTTTAACGGAAAAAAATATAGAAGAAAACACGCTTAAGAAAATATACGCAGCAAAAAATATACAAGACTTTACAGCGATAGGAATAGAAATAATGGGAACAAGCGAAGTAAACGCAAAGATTAACGCCTTTAAGGAAGACCAGACAAGGCATATTTTGTAGCATACTTTACAATATTATTCCGTCCGAAAAAATTTCAAAAAATTTCTTGAGAACAATAATTCTCCCTCTCACGCGGCCGCAGCAACAATTCGAAATCACGTGAGTTGGAAGTAAAAATATCCATTTCAAAAACGGACATGACCAATAAAAAACAATTAATAAAAACCACGAGGAGAAAATTATTAATTTGAAAAAAAATGATAATAATATCTTTCATATGGTTTGGACTTTTTGTCAAAGTTTAATTATTCCTTATGCGCTATGTGCCATAATCTTATGGCAAGATTAAAAAAAAATCTGCTGTACCTGATGTCTGATGAAAAGGAAAGATATTAAATTAACAATAGAGAACATATATGCAGTTGCAGAAGGAGAAGAAACAGCAACACACGTTGATTTTAAAGAAAGGTTCGGTGAAAATGAGGAACATAGCGAAGGAGAATTTACTGATGAAACGTATAGATCAGAATCTAGTGAGGAAGATGAAAATTCCGAGGAGGATTCAATATTATCAGAAATTTCTTTCAAACTTATAGTAAATCAAACAGTCCTGCAAAATGGGTCATTATTCAAAAAACAATTCTTAGAAATTTTTAAAAGAATTGAATAAATATATTCAGCAACAATTAGATCAATGGATCGAATTTGATGATTATATTACTACACATAAAACAAGAGTTTAGGTATTCAACTACCAGATGAAAAGAACCGGGAAAATTTTTACTGGAATATCAAAACTCAATTTCACGTAACAAGGAGATGATGGTGATCGCTACCGACAATTAAGTCTAATGAAAATGAGAATGTTAAAATTTATACAAGGTATATGGTATAATATTAATTATTTATAAATATATAATAATAATTTATGCTTATAATTACTTTATTTCAGGGAAATGGATAATATAACTAATACTACTGATGCTACTACCGATACTGCACGATCATCAAGAAAGAAAAGGGAAAGATCAAGTACTATTTCAAAAGAAATGTCTTTTTGATGAAAGGAGACAAATACAATGTTGTTAACTCAAAAAATTATTGTAATGAACATGATAGAACATCTTTGGTTCGGGAACCTGCCCTATATCAGTATCAACATGGCAAAATGGTGGATTGATAGCAAAAGAAATAAAAAATATTATGTACTTTACTATGAAATCAAAGAACCTGGAATCCCACTTGATGAGGCGTTAGAATTATATTCTGAATCAAGTTCGGATATATACCAGAAATAATATATCTGAAAGCATCTCAGGATAGAGAAGTAACAGTGAAAACATAACATAAAATTTTTATCATGTGAGATCGATGCGCAGTTGATATCAGAAGTGTGACGTAAGATTTGCATAAGTTCTCTTGACGAAGATAACTTGGCTAATCTCCATGATTCGCAAAGGGGTGGAAGATTAACGAAATGTTGAAATGCAGTACGTCATTAAATGGAGATCTCGGGACCGTTTGTTCTTGGAAATGTTACCTTTGATAACAAATTCAAAATAGAAAGATCTCAGCCATATACGCAAGGCAGTATGGATAGCACATACAGTACATCGAAGCACTTGCAAAAAATATTCTCAGTGCCCTTGCGGAAACACTGATATATCTATATTCTTCGTGTGAGAAGATATTTATATGAATGAATTCACTCCATACAAGAATTTACCCTAGTTTCATATGGACACATCTTTTACCAGAAGTGTCTTGAAAAGTATCTGGTGAGAGAGTGGAGAAACGATTTGTCCGAATAAGAAGTGTAACAAAGTTGTCAAAACTTTTCTTCCTCCAGATCTATTTAAGGGATCGCAAGACAAATTTTCAACTGCAGATGCCACCTCCAAGCCAGCGGACGAGGATGCTGATGTAACGCTCATAAATGAACTAGTCAGTAGGATTATTAGGCAGAGGAACAAAGTTTGTCTAAGACCACCGACTGACAAGACATCAAGATAAGCAATCAACTCTATTAAGATTTTAGTATTGCACCTGGCAATTCCAAAAACTTGTATAACTCACAAATCAAGTGCATATATGAGAAAATGTTAACGTACAGTTAGACCTCTATGTACCGATAATTGCCTGTACCGATAAATTTTCTATGTCCCGTTTCACAATTAATAAAAAAACCTCATTGTACCGATATCATATATAGTTTCATGATGTAACAATTGTAACATGTACCAATACTTTTGTTACGTAGTATAAAGATGTACCAATACTTTAGGTTACACTGTTATTAATTCGGGCCAACACTATAAATTTGGCCGAAGTTAACACATCTAAATCACATGACATTTTAATAGATTGAGTTTGCATAATTCTGGTAAGAATTGGATTTAGGCCTGCGTTATGATTCACTGATGACAGTATATGTATATGTAACGATAATTTGATATACCGATATATTTTCCCCAAAACAACAGTATCGGTCATAATCATGTATTTTTCCTAAAAAAATTTCCTAGTTCTTAGGAATTTAACACAATCCTAAATTACACCTGAGAATCACCCTTTTTGGAATGAAAACTGTGGCTTATTATTTTCAAATTAAGAGCATCACGTTGAATATTGGAAGAAAGTGAATATTGTCAGTATTTTCTTTTTATAAAAAAAAAAAACTATGAAACCTATAAATAATAATAACCATTGATATAATTGAATTATCATTATTGATAATTTAAAGTATATAAAATAAAAAAATTGTTTGACGCGACAATCGCGACATGATTTTATTTATTGAATCTTTACGTACAAGCCACAGTTTTCATTCCAAAAAGGGTGATTCTCAGGAGTAAAAAATTTAATTTAGGATTGTGTAAAATTCCTAAGAATTAGGAAATTTTTTTAGGAAAAATACATGATTATGTATCGGTCCGCCTGTAATAGGAAATCGTCTGCATCTACCGAAGAACCTTAATTTTTAATAGCTGATGATCGATTAATTTTTTCTATTTCTTCAACTTGTTAGTTAATTCTGTTTGAATTAATTATTTATTTAGATTCAATTAAAGAAATAAAAGAAAAAAAATTTACTAATTGGGAAGTTACGACATGAACTGGTGGAAAGAAGGTACCTAGTATGCTAAAAAAAAACTTATTGAAGAGTAATTAACTGATATTCCCGATCGTGATGTGAGTTTGGAAGAAATAAGTGAAAGTGCAATTAAGTATTTTTTGTAATTATTCAATAGATTGAAAGCGCCGAATCTAAAAATGAAGATTGCAGGTCAAGAACTTATTCCCTGCTACTTTGACTTTGGGGAAGCTATATTTAATCGAATACAAGAAGTTAAAACTCGTCCACGACAAAGATGGAGCTCAAGCTAATGAGGTAAAATAATTCGTTATTTTGCAGTGTATTTAGCAGAGTATTTAGCAATTTTCAATGATTTTTTATTAGACTTTTTCATTATTAGGAAAAAAAAATAAGAAAAGTAATTTAAAGAAATTAAAATTCAAGATATTTATAGGACTTAAATTCGCATTTTTTTTCATTTTGTATAGAGATTGTAATTTAATATGATACTGTAATAAATATTAACGAATTTAAAAATATATATATATATTACATTTAAAGGAATTGTACAATCAATAACTTATCTCCTAAATGAATGTTAACACTTGTTATTGACATTATTCTAAAAGTCACTTCTTACGGTAGTTGAAATAGAGCGATAAAACTAAAGATGAAAGCGAAACTATGAATTATTAAACTTCTTATCCACGGTGTTAATTTCATTGTTACTGATGAATTTATGAAATTCACTTAGTTTACTATAAGTTAGAAAAATATCTCATATAATTTATATCATTTTAGAATTTAGTAAATATGCGAATAAATAAATAAATACGTAAAGCAAGTTTAAATATAAAAGGATGTCAAATCCAAGTACTACATTTTTTTAAATAAATTCCTTTTTTTTTATTTAGATTAGTCTGAGGGGCAAAAGTAGTACCTTATTGTAAAATATATGATACGGGTCAAGTTAGCACCGTGTGGTGGTTCAAGAATGATACATTTGCGTCCGAGAGTTAAGTAATCTATTATCAACTTGCTTACTTGCGTATTATTTATTTATACAGTATATTAACAATTCGCGAGATTTACTATAAATTTATTTTAAATTGTTACAATATAGTGAGCTTTATACTATAATTTATATAAACACTGATTTGTTATACAAAATTTTTTTTTGGCATTATTTTATATTTTTATATGCAAAGAAAAAAATTCTCTTTTTATTTTCCATTATTGTACAGTTACTACAGTACAAATGATGTCTTCGCCTTCTTTCTGTTTCCTTTCTTGTTAATTTATACTTTCCATCATTAGTATCTTGCTTCTATGCTAAAATATTTAATAGTAGTTAGCCAATACTTAAAGATATTTATTTTCACTAGTATCTCAAATAAGTAAAATGATAAAGGTAAATGCATTAATTACATTGTTTTATACATTTACTCTGATAAAGTACTTCTATAATATTAAACGGACTATTCCGTAATACTATGGTAAATTCTCAAAATTCCTTGAGAATCTAGAAATACTTTCCGTATCTCCAACAAAAAGTTCAAACCTCTGATAACGCATAATTCAGAATAAATAAAATATGTACGTTCAAAATTTCATCATAGTATATCTTACTATTTATTATAAAGAAAAGTCAAAATGGAAAAATCAAGTTTTTAACTATTGCATGAGTTTCACTTTGTTTAATAAATAAAAATAAATTAATTAATGACAAAGTAACATAATAAAATTATAATATTTATTTATAGCTATGATTAACAATTAAACATGTCTAAAAATATTTTATTTCGTCAATTTTTAAAATCAATCTCATAACTTCGGGACAAATATAATCACGTGCAATCGGCCTTTTATTATTGTTGCGCAAGTAAAGTAATACAAAGAATAAAAACAATATATACAAATAATTACGTCATCATTAAGTATAAATATCAGTACCCCCCGTGGCTTATCCTCTTTAGGCCTTTTTTTACTTGTTGCGGTTCGCTCTTGAGAAAAAAAGTTAAAGTCTCATAATGACAGAAGATAGTGACAATACTGATAGTAATGAACATAATAATGAACGTACTGAAGAACCGAATATCGACCAAGACTTATATTTGGACGACTCTGACCATGCCTCTTGGACACCAAGTGGTCCTATAGCTGAACTCCCTTCAGAAGTCTTCAAAAAGAATTTGTTACCCACAGACTCGAGAAAATTTATTCTACAAAATGAACCCAAAAACAGAAATATCTCCTTTACACCACCTGATATGGACAGAAAGGTTTGGATTCATATGTCAAAAATTGCTAAAGATCATGACAAAGAAATCCGGCGTCTCCTTTACCGATTCTCAGCAGCTATACGTCCCATCGACAATAGCCTCAGACTTATTTATGCTTCAAAACCAGAAGACTCCGCTTCTCAGGAAACTAAAGATGCCTGGTTACAGTTGGAACAGACCACTCTTAACTCGCGAGCATTGGTTTTGGATGCATTATCGTTTGGTAACGAAATACGAAAAGAACAAGCCCTTAGGTCTATTTCTCCAGGATATCGGAAACAATCAGAAAGAGAAGAAGTATTTGGAGAGGAGTTACCAGAAATCATACGCAAAGAAAATGAAACCAACAAATTATTTAATGACGCAGCTTGGCAGAAACGCCGGGCTAATCAGTTTAGATCACCTCGCACACAAGCGTCTAACAATTTTAGGAATACATCTACGAATTCTTCTTCATATAAAGGGAAGTACAAGAATTCCTCTTATCAACATTACCAACACAAACAAGGCAATAACCAGTCAGGAAACCAGTCAAATGGCGGCTCTCAAAACCGCCAGAGTTCAGCTTAACAACCTCTATGGATATGGTGGCTGGAGGTCTTGGTTTGCATCAAGACCAATGGTCGGTAATGTTCAGGGAATGTTGGGCTACGTTTATTGTACACGAAGGATATATCCCGGAATGGTCTTCAACACCACCTTTAAGACGGACTCCTATTTCTCAAAGACGCTACGGAAGTACAGATTTGAACATGTTTTCTCACGAGATTTCAGAGCTATTAAAAATAAAAGCAATTCAAGAGATGGATCCAGAGGAGCCGTGTTTTGTCTCAAATCTTTTCATGGTTCCCAAGAAAGGTGGGAGTTTACGCCCTGTTATCGATCTAAGAAAATTAAATACATATGTCAAGTATTCGCATTTCAAGATGGAAGGGATAGACCTTGTAAAATCACTAGTGCGACGCGAAGATTTTATGGTTTCAATCGATCTCAACCAAGCCTTTTATCACGTTCCTGTGTTGACTGGATTAAGAAAGTTCTTTACCTTCGATTTCATGGGAAAACGATATTGTTTCAACTGTTTACCCTTTGGGTTTACAGCCAGTCCAAGGATATTTACAAAAATTCTGCGACCGATAATAAAGTTAGCATGAAGCAAAGGGATCCGAGTAGTGGCATACTTGGACAATATTCTGATAATTGCGTCAACCAAGGAACAGGCTCTGGCACACGCACAATTCATGATTTCCTCTCTTCAAAGTCTGGGCTTCACCATAAACGAGGAAAAATCTTCTTTAATACCTTCTCAAGTAGTCGATTATCTAGGATTTCGGATAGATTCCAAGTCCATGATGATAAAACTACCGAAACACAAGATCAAAGATTTAATACAAGAATGCAAAAAGACAAGCCAAAAGCCAGTAATTCCGGTTCGCAAATTAGCTTCTCTTATAGGGAAGATCACTGCAACAACGGACGCTGTGTTTCCAGCCAGATTGCATTCTCGCGCACTGCTAAGAGACAAGAACATTGGTCTGAAGATGCAAGGTTGGAATGGTATTATAGAACTTTCCCCAGAAAGCATCGCACAATTGGAATGGTGGATCAAGAACCTACCTCTATGGAACGGACGAAGTCTTATTCCAGAGGAACCAAAGACAATTCTATACACCGACGCTTCAACTTCCGGATGGGGCGTGTCCCGGGAGGATTATGTAATACATGGAAGATGGCTAAGAATGGAACAGCATCTTCACATCAACATTCTCGAGTTAAAAGCGATCTTGTTCGCTCTTCTAGCCTTCAAAGATTTAAAGGACCAACTGATTATGATACGCACAGACAATACAACATGCGTTGCTTACATAAATCATCAGGGAGGAACAACTTCTACTTTACTGTCAAAGATAGCGGAAGAGCTATGGACAGTTTGTCTGGAACGGAATGTTCACTTAAAAGCAGAACACATCCCAGGAATTCAGAATTCAATGGCGGATCGAGCTTCTCGAATGAAGATAGACAGATACGATTGGAAGTTGAAAACCAATTGGTTCAGGATGTTCAATCGAATTTGGGGACCACATCATATAGACCTCTTTGCAAATCACCACAATACACAACTGATGAGGTATTATTCTTGGACGCAGGATCTAGGAGCGGAGGCAGTGAATGCTTTTCATCAGAATTGGGCACGCATGAATTTGTGGGCCAACCCTCCATGGATACTTATTCTGAGAATATTAGCCAAAGTAATCAGAAACAAGGCCACGATAACGATATTAGTACCTTATTGGACATCAGCACCGTGGTTCCCACTGTTGTTAGACCTTTTGATTGCACCGCCGATTTTAATTCGTTCAACCAACATAACGGAAACAGACATGAGTCCTCATCAGCATCCTCTGAGGAACCCAAAATGGAGAATGTTAGGTTGCAGAATTTCAGGATTAGGTATCAAGAAAAAGGTTTTTCGGAAAAAGCTATTGAACTCCTATTGGCCTCATTGGACCAAAACTCTACAAGATCAATTTCCTCTAATCTCAGAGTATGGCTTCGTTGGTGTGAATCAAGGAATTTGGATCCCATTACTTGCGATTTAAATTCAATTTGTGAATTTTTTGATGATAAACTTAAGGATGGAAAAGCGGCTAATACTATCGCTGGATATCGTACAGCTATAAGTGAGGTTCACGAGCTAGTTGATGGACAATCTGTAGGATCTCACCCGGATATTTCTAGAGCTATTTTAGCTGTTCATAGATTAAATCCGCCTACGATTAAGCAAAATGATAATTTGGATATCTCATCATCACTCGAATATATTTTAAGTTTGGGTGATAACGATTCTATGTCTTTTCGACAACTAACGGTCAAGACTGCTTTTTTAGTAGCATTAGTAATGGCTAGCCGCCCTTCTGATATAGTTAGAATGGATTTGACGACATTGCAAACAACGGATAATAGTTATTCATTTGATTGCGTAGCTCCTAAGGAATATAATATTGCTTCGGCGCATTCAACAGCTACGACTAAGCGTAGAATTAAACGTATTTTTATAGGATCTTATTCAGATAACCTTTTACTTTATCCTTTCTCAACGTTAAAGGTTTTTTTAAGTAAAACGGAGCATTTCAGGGTGTCACCAAAACAAAAACGATCAATTTTTCTTATTACAAGACAGCCTTACTCTCCAGCAGCTATCGATACTATAGCTGGGTGGATAAAATCGGTTATTCAGATCTCATCTCCTGCTTCAACCGCTAAAGATGTTCGCGCTACATCAGCATCTTTGGCACAAAATGCAGGCATGGATTTATCAACAGTATTAGCGTTGGGAAATTGGACAAGTAACACCACTTTTCAAAGGTTTTACCAGAGGGGTGTACGCGTTATGTTAGAGAGGAATAATGTTTCTGGGCAAATTTTAAAGGAAGCCCTTTCTTGATTCCCTTTACTACTTTAGAAATTTTATGCATTTTATTTTTCTTTACAGACATTTATTAATATATAGGATTTTAGACTAGAAATATTTAGAACAATAGTTTAATTATTAATTATTAATTTTATTAATTTTATTAATTTTAATTTTACTCCGCAGTTGCACGTGATTATATTTGTCCCGAAGTTATGAGATTGATTTTAGCAAATGTACTTTTTTATTTTGTACATTTGCTAAAATTTTTTTGTGTAATTGTAATTGTCATATGACAATCAGATCATACTAAAATTTGAATCTATAGTTACACCATTAATTTCTTTTTCTAACAATAAAAAATTTTTTCTTTTTAAACTTTTGTAATTAAATTACATTATGTCTACCATTCGATATGAATTAGTTTATGCAACAACTAGTAGAGCACATTCGTTAATTGATTATAGTATTCACACTGATATTCACAAACAATATGAATTTCAAAAACAATTTATTCTTGCTGATAAACTTCTTACAGATGATGAAAAAACTTTTGCAATGAAATATATAACTAAATCTTACGACCGAAATAAAATTCTTTTTAATACGGGAACAAAAAGAATTTGTGAAGATTGCAATCAAGAATGTTTAGCTACATCATATTGTGAATATTGTATTCGAAATTATTTAAAAGGAAAATTTTCACATTGGACATCTGGAAATGATGATATTGATAATTTAATACAGAAATGTCAAATGGAACTTTTACTCCAGATATGATAATTGAATGGATTCCATATAGTAATTTACAAAATATTAAATATCTTACAAAAGGTGGATTCTCCGAAATTTATACTGCAGGTTGGATTGGTGGAAATTATGATAAATGGGATTCTAAAAAACAACAATTAAAAAGAGTTGAAAACTTTGTAGTGTACTATGTAGTACTCAAAAAATTAGAAAATGTTGAAAGTGCAAATCAAAGTTGGTTTGAAGAGGTATATATTCTAAATTGTTTATTAAATTAAATAATTTTTGTATTGACAATAAAATTTTTAAATTCTTATAGGCTAAATCACATTTAACTATAAATAATAAATGGACAGTAATTGTCCGATGTTGCGGTTTAACACAAGATATATCAAGTGGAAATTACATGCTTGTAATGGTGAAAATGGATATGGATTTAAGAAAATATTTACAACAAAATAATGAACGACTCACATGGAAAGAAAGAATTAAAATTGCTTTTGAAATAATTAATGCACTTTATTTTATTCATTTTGAAAAAGCAATTCATAGAGATTTGCACTCTGGAAATATATTATTTTCACAATTTAATGATAGATGGCTTATTAGTGATCTTGGATTTTGTGGACCTGCTGATAAATCATCAAAAAGTATATATGGAAATCTTCCTTACATAGCACCCGAAGTTATTAATGGAAAAGGGTATACTTTTGCATCTGATATTTATAGTATTGCGATACTTATGTGGGAAATTTCATCTGGATATTCACCATTTATTGATTATAAGCATGATGATTATAATCTTGCAATGGATATAATTAATGGTATGAGACCGGAAATTATGTCAGATATTCCTTTAGAATATAAAAATTTAATGGTACAATGTTGGGATGNTATTTATAGTATTGCGATACTTATGTGGGAAATTTCATCTGGATATTCACCATTTATTGATTATAAGCATGATGATTATAATCTTGCAATGGATATAATTAATGGTATGAGACCGGAAATTATGTCAGATATTCCTTTAGAATATAAAAATTTAATGGTACAATGTTGGGATGCTGATCCATTAAAAAGACTTGATATAAAATTTCTTCGGGATAAAATAAGAGAAATTCATCTATCATATCAAAATATGTCAGATGAATTTTTCCAGTCAAAAGCAGTGAATAATTTTGAAACAAAAACTAGCACAAATTATACAAGCAGCAGATTATTTACGAGCAAAGTTCATCAATTTGAAAATTTACCCGAACCAAAAAATGCAACAGAAGGTATTATTTATTTAAGTTTTTTGTTTATTGATTAAGATATGATGATTGATGAGTTACTAATTTTTTTTTTTATTTAAATGATTATACACATTGTAGAAGAACAAGAAGGTTAGCTTTTTTATTGTTATTTTATTAACTATTATAATAATTTATAACCTATTTTTCTTATTTTTAAATAGCATTTCATAGTAAAACATATGATTTTAATATTCCTGATAATAGTAAGTATTTATTGAGATTTTTATTTGATGAAATAATTATTAAACAGATTTTCGTTTTTTTAGTTGAAGATTTTAATAATTCAAACGATCAGAAGATTAATAAAACATCAAAAATAAATAGTATTTTTAAAGGTAATTTATTTATATATTCAAAATTTTGAAATAATGATACAAATTTATCTCAATTTTAGGTGGTAGTAAAAGGTTATCTAAAGTATTTAAAAGGTTACAAATAAATTCAAATAATGGTAAGTAATATTATTCTAAATTTTAATCGTTTATTAAGAAATATTTGTTATATCTTACTGATTTATTTATTTAAAAATTCAGACATTCAAAATGATCATAAAAAAGAAACAACACAACAAAAGAAAGGATCAGTTAATGGTAAGTAAATTAATTTGCTATAAATTTTCATTTTATTTTTGCAATGTTTAAATTAAAAATTTTGTCCTTTTATAGACGATGACGAAATACATAATAATCCAAACCTTCATTCAGAAGATCAAGATGAATTTGAGATTCCCGATGGTTAGTTTCTTAATATTAATATTGTATAAATAATAATTTAATTGCTAATTTCTATAATTTCTATTATTTATATTTATTTATATATATATTTTTTAGATGGATTTTAAAATAATAATTATAAACAAGCGATATTGAATATTTTAGTTATTTTGAATTATTTAAACACTAAGGCTAGAGTAGTAAATATTTTTTGCGTTCCTTAGTTTGTAAATTAAATAATTTATATATATATACTATATATTATAGCTTACCAATAAATTTAAATCAATATTTTTCAACATGTAAATGAGAAGTTGACGCCTCACCACATTGATTTACGAAATAACTTTTTTATTGATAATAGGTTGTGACGTAATGGAAATTTAATTAATAGAGTCGAAACTATATATGAACTAATTAATATGTCGTTAATCAAATTGTGTTAATTTAAAGCTGTCCTGATTGCTGTGATAAAGTGATAAACAAGTTCAAAGTAACGAAGTATGTTTGGATTATTGTTGTCGTTATTACTTAAAAGCAGTGTTGGGGCTCAAGTTATTATTTAGAGTTGAAGATTTATATTATTTTTGTATACATGAAATCTAATAGCGCAAATTATTTGAATAATAATTCTCTTTTTGCTAAAGGAATGCTTGTTCCTTTAAGTAAGAGGATGTACCTAAAATATATTATCAGTTGGTCATTGTGAAACAATCTACGAGTTAATTTCGACGTGTTAAAAGAATTACTAGTTATACCCAACTTATTTCATAAATCATTAAATTAAAAAGGATTCTAACAAATCTGGGTTAATAGTATAGCTAATAAATATTTTTTATGATAAATTTATATGCAATCAAAAATTTCAAGAATAATTTTTAATGTTGTTCTATTTATATTGTAAATGGGATATCCTGTGACTTTACAAAGAAAAAATCGGTTTAAAAATATTGAATAATATTTATGATAACTTCTGCAACCTAATAATTCAAAATCAAATATTTCAATATTACATATTTATATTATTATATACCATATTTCTTCATTATATATATAAAAAGTAAATAAATTATCGCTATAAAATTAACAATTATTTTAATATCATCATCATTATTCGAAATTTAAAGAATTATATTTAATATTATTGTTCAATCGATTACTAAAAATATACGGGATTTTAACGCATTTATTCCTAATAACCAAACTATTCTTTATTCTTTCATCCAATATTATTAATTTTAAATTTTAAATTGATATATTTACATTCATATGTAAATAAAATCGACTATTTTTAAGACAAACGTGATTTTCATTTTAAATTAATTAATATAATATGAAAGGAATAATTTTTTTATAAACAAAAAAAAAAATTTTTTGTTTTTAAAAAACATTTTACCAGACTTTTCTGATAAAAAATTAATTTATACATCTTGTTATTGTGAAGAAAATATTTACCATTTATGTAAAGAATTAGATGATATAAAAAATAAAATTGATATTTACGTTTGTTTTATATCAAATGAAAATCTTACGGTAAAAAAAAAGAAAATTTTATTTTATTTATTTATTTATTTGTTTTTAGTTGAAAATAAATTATAATTTATAATGAAAAACTTTTCCAGGTCCCATTATGGAAACAACGTGCATCTAAATATTCAGATGGAATGATAATTTGGGTAAGGGTAATGGAAAAAAATAAATTCTTTTTTTTTTTAAAAGAAAAAATTAAATTTTTAATTAATTTAATTAATTTCACCTCATAATAGGATTATCATGTGATTTTGATAGTTAAGAAAAAGATTCGGAACAAAAGTATTTGAATTTGATATTTTGGATGTCACAAACCATCTCTTTTATTCTAAAAACATTTTTTTAATCAGGATAAATGTTTATGATCTTGACACAACACTTCCATTCCCATGTGATTTTTTCAACTTATACGCAAGAATCATTTAAAGTACTCAATATTCCACAATATAATAGGTAAGTAAATTTTAGAAATATATAATAAAAAGATTCAATTGTTGGTGAATTATCTATATACAGTATTAATTGATTTATCTTTTTATTTATAAAAAAATAATTGAATAAATAAATAATGAATCATATTTTAAATTTTAGCCAATTGTAAAAAGTTATCCCAAATGTTTAAAAATCTACTAGTAAAAGATGGTAAGTAAATAAGCTAATATTATTTATTAATGCAAATATTCATTAAACGTAATTTATTTCAATTAATATAAACAAGAAACAGTGCAACAAACAAAAGGATCAAATGTTAATTTTAATGGTAAGACTGACAATTATACACATTTTAATGGCCATTTTTTCACGCGTTCTCATGTAGTTAAAACACATGATCTGAAAGCATGTGTCATTTATCCAATTAAATTGAGAATACTTGAACAATGTGGCGTAGTCGAACATATCGAATAGGTAATATGAATATATGATTTTATTAAATAAAATTAAAATATCGATAACAAATAATTATTGAAGTAGATAGGCACTTTCATTTAAACAAAGTATCAATATACCGAAAAATCAAGTTAACTAAAGGAAAGCAAAATACTTCAAAAAGAGCTGAACGATAATATCAATAGCGTATCAATTAATAGATTTTTCGAAGATTTTAATAAACCAAATAGCTAAATGTTTGAAGGTAAATTTTTTTAAATTCTTTTTCTTTTCAAAAAAAAGTAATAGGAATTACTTATTAAAACTATGTAAGGTAGAATCAATACATGGAATTGTACACTTATCCTCGAAAATCATTACCTACTTTTAGTAATATAATTAATCGTAACACTATTTAACTCTTACTTGAACAGTTTCGTTGTACGATATTAAAAAATTGGGTGAATCGATATTTTACACCTCATTCATTACGCATGTCTCCCATTTAAAATAATTTTAAACAATTCTTTTATATGAGCAACGCGTGGCTTTTCTTTTGACTTTAACTTGCTGAGTGTGTAACTCAGGGTGTGAAAATTAAATATGTACATAAACTTTAATGTAGTTAGTATAAACTTTTTCTTCCATTAATATATTTTATCAATCTTTAGTCGAATATCTAATAAAACAGGAGAGAAACTGATCTTTAATAATACGTTAGAAAAGCACATTCTGAATTTACAATAATTACGTAAAAACTCGTTACGGGAATTAGAAGTTGTAAATAAATTATATTAATATATCATATATACTTTTGTACTAATTATATATTTCTAAAATCCAAAATTTTGAATATATTCTCAACATTATATGGTAGGATTCTGTGCATGTTATAACAATAATTACTGGAACGTGTCACTCCGTATCATCGAAAATATATTTGTCATATTTGTCCTACTCGGAATGCACTTGTTACAAAAATTCCTTCGTTGTCAATTGGCATATTGAATTGTTTTACATATTATGATGGTATTGACCTGCGGCGGAAAATATAACATTAAATAGTATGGAAATATGGACTTTCCTTCATGACATGTTCGAAAGTCTTGATGATACTTCTCTTTATAGAACTCCTTTTATTTTAATTAACGTGATAACACTATCGAATAAATTACCTTCAATATTGGCATTCAAATTTGCATTTGATAAAATAATTTAATAAACGAATTAAAGGGATTTATTATTTTTTACTTATTATATTTTTTTTTTTAAAAAAAAAAGAAAATTTGTCAAAATTCACAATAATACAGTATATATATCAAAGATTGTAATTAATCCTACGTATTTACGTAATAAACTCGCCACACGCGATATAATTATTCCTTTTTGGAAATTTATACGAAATTATGAATTTACAAGTAATATTTAATACCATTTATGATTATAATTATTTTGTAGTTCCTATAAATAAACATTTTATTACGCACCCAAAGTATCACTTTTATAATAAATAAATAAGTCTTGGCAAATTCCTCAAAAAAAAAAAAAAAAAAATTAATTTTCGTAGCATTTTATTTGTTTTTTTTTTTTATCATAATTCTCTGGTTATTTGCCTATGGATTACCGGTTATCAAGATCATTATTTCACCATTTTAGAATTGTGATGATATATGGAACAACGCGTTAGGTATATCCCATATGCAATGTAAATAGCTTAAAATCTCAAAACTAGTCAATAATTATATTCTTATACGTCATTTATAAACGTGCTTGAAAAATAATCATTGAAAAATCTGATCTCAAAGTTAAAGGAATTTATTAAATATTTATGAGGATTTCTTACATCAACAGAAAATTATATAAAAGGAAATTCTGTGTTATTGCATAAGTATCACGTGGCAAATGTACAAAGTTTTAACCTAACAAAGTTTGTTGATATTATTAAAAGATAGGGCATGTGAGCCAGAAAGGAAGAGGGTTAGAATAAAGGGTTATCGTCCAAAAAAATAATTAGCCGTAATTATCATAGACGCCATGTATCACGGACGCAGTCCCGAGCTCTGTATTTATTTATTTATTTTGATTTATTTATTTATTTATTTTATTACTAAAAGAGTGTTAAAACCCAGGCTATTACAAATAGAAGAAAAAAAGAGTTCGAAAATACTTAAAGCTAATATATGTGTATAGACCTTTGTTCGTCATCCCCTACGGGACCCCACTCTTCGATCTGTACTCTTTGATAAAGTAGGACTACGCTAAAAAATCAAATGGGAACCATAAAAAAAACCATCCGAGAGACTAGCGGCTATCTAAAAAAACAATCATTAAAAAAAACGATCCGTATTTTTCTTTCAACCCGAAGGTCGCCAACCGTAAATACTGTCATGGTTGGATTGATTCACACTATTCTAAATTGTTTGTTTGTTAAAATTACCTGGTACAAATGTGTACAATATATTTATAAGAAAAGAAACTATATAAATGGGTATTTTTGACTCAAAAAAGGTACTTGGCTTGTAAACTACGTAAATTATTGAACATTGAAGGACCTGCTTCTGGTGAGTCATCCGCTTCTGCAGGTGGGTTTAACCTTCGTTTGTATCTATTCTCTTGACTTGTGAAGAAATTTTTAGGAACCATCGTAGGATTACGTTTATTAGGGCGTCGTTCTAGTTCTTTGGTATTATCGGAAAGTTCTGATTCTAGTACATATCTTTTACTTTAAGTATTGGCTTTATAGCGTTCTTTAAATTCCTTGAGTTCTTGATTGATATAGGCACGGTGATCCCTGTCAGATCCAAATTGTCGTAAATCAGACGTGAAATGTTTCATCTTAAAATCAAATTCTTCAGACTTGTTAAAAAGTCGATTAATTTCTCTAGTACGATCTATATGTCGTAAATATGTTGTTCCAAAATTTTTCTTGATGTGTATACTATATTCTTCCTTGTCACGTTCGATTTTAGCGATGCGATCTTGTTCTGCAGCTTGTTCTGCATAATATTCATATTGAGTTACTTGACCTGTAAGAATAGGTATCGGTATAGTACCTGATTGATGTAGATTGTGCATATAAGTGAACCATTCTCTTGATCCTGGAATAATAAAATTCCCAGTATTGTCATAGATCGGATCTTTAGGTATAATATTCCTATATTTGTGCTGAATGAACATATCTGGGTATGGTCGATATGGTGCAACTGTATGATAGACTTCCTGTGAGTTCTTATTCGTAAACGTCATACTTGATATTAACTTTTTTTCTTTATCCTCTCGATCAATACGGTAAGGAGTTACAAAACCTTAGTTTGGGTTGTCTAAACCATGAGTATATATCAAATGTTTGATCGGTTTGTTAATATATTGTGATGGAAGAAATAAGAATCTGTAGCGTCGTGCTGTGTTTAATTGATGACGTGTAGTATTACGTCGATTATGTTCAGGTTTGTTGAAGATACGTTTACAAAGGCGTGCAAACTGGTTTTCTTGTCGTTTTTTTGTTTTGTCATTATCACTATATTTAGGTGAGAATTTATCTAAACGTTTCCTATACATATGTGTATTATTATGTTTAAGTACTGAACTTACATTTCGAGCATGATAGGATGAATCATAGGAAATGCCCAATCTATTTGAATAAATTTTCTTCTTTACTCGATTATTCCATCGTTGATGTAACATGTTTCCATGTGATTGTTTAGAGTTTACTACACCACTAGCTTTGATTTTTCTAGTATTATTATTATCATTTCGAATATTGTGATATAAATTTGATTTGAAGAACGTGTGTTGATGCATAACTCATGCTCGTCTACACTTTGACATAACTAAAGGTGCAGGAACCGCACAACTACTTGGACGTGGACCTATGCCAGGAGTGGGTTATAATTGATGACAGGGAATATATAATCCTAAATAAAAATGATATTTCTTATATGTAAAATTAAAAAAAGTACGAGTATGAATATTTCGTGACGTGTGAGTATTAGCACGTGATCGGATGATTTCTTTTCGAGCCAATAATTTATCTCGAATAAAATTAAAATATTTTTGTTGAATACGTCGTGGAATTACTCTTTGTGAGGAAAAAAAATGCGTGAGCATACAGCTTATTCTGTATTTGTCATTCGGCGTTGTGCTTGTGTTATAATAACTAATTGGAGAACTTTTCACATGGTAATCATTTGTGTGAATCGTTAAATTAATTTCATTGGTGTCAAGGGGAAGATCATTTAACTCAAAAAAGTAACATCTTGATCGTCTGATTTCATAGATCTTGTTATATCCTGCCCGATTCGGGTTAGTCACGTGAAATTTTGAAAAAAAAATTTTCAAAGGTTTTTTATTCTCAAGCGTCTTGGAAGGAATTTTGCGAAGGCTGTTAGTCGAGTACGGGGGTATGTATTTAGGAGTAGAAGTCGGAAATGTATTATGTCGTATGTTATTATCACTTTTGTTGTGGTTGATAGGTGTAGAGACTGTATTGCTATTTGTAAAATGTGGGTACGAAATGGGGACGTCAAAGTCTATGTGTATAAAGTTAGAAGAGGTCATATTCTATATTTATATAATGTATATATTGAACAAAAAACCTCGCCTTATGCCCGAGGCGCCCTCTCAGGGCCTCTATCCCTTTAGTTTTCAACAGAAAACTGAAAAAATAACCAAAGCAAAATTGCTATATTTACTGCGGAAAATTAATAAAACGTAAAAAAGGGGAAAGAGTTTTCTTTATTTATTTTGATAAAAATTTTTTCTTGGCAAAAGTAATAATTGTTCACGAACATGTGATTTTTGATCACGGTTACACCTATGCGAATACATGTTCGATCTGCTTATTTTCCTGAATGAATGAAAGGATCCATAAGTTCTTCCTTGACATGTGACAGTTGTGACACACAATGTATGTAATCCACATTATTTGTTCCACGTTCAACAAATATTCATAGAAAATTTCTAGAGCCCGAACTTGACCACCAAAGTCACTAATGCAACGACGAAAAGTACCGCTCTAGATGTGATCTAGATCATGATTACGTTCAGAACGGGCAACAAAATTCGCTAATTTTCCGAACCTCCTGATCCTGAAGAAGGTGAATTGGTATATAACGGTATTTTTATTCTCTGACATTTCTTCAAGAGACCTTGAATTGTTCCAGCAAAGATCGGCACATAGAATATTCTGGAACCAGGCAACTTAATCCATCAACAGCACGCACAATTTCACGAACTGGATTGTTATGACCCTCTTATTGTGCAAAATGTTTAATTCATCAATTCCAAGGATGACAAGTTTAATAAAACTATTTTCATCCTTATCACTATTTATAACATCTTTGAGAACAATATATTGAGTACATTTCAATTTTGAGCTTTTTTACCGAACTACACTTCTCCAAGAATTCTCCATAGCCTAAAGTTCCGGAGATAAAATTTTCGTAGAGTATTTGCAACACAACCGATATTTGTCCTATAGATGTATCTTCCTCTGATGCTGGAGTACCGTTACCAAAGGTAACATTTATAGCATACATCCTATATTTGATCCTATCCAAGAGTTCATCGTCATTCGTATAATTTTCAGCATGCTCGCGTAATAAAGTTGGAATTTCTTGGAGGAATCGGCTCTTTCTAGTTCCTGGTCCATTTGCCAATAGAGAGATAGGGTGGATGTTTCGAACTTTCTTCTTACGGTTTTCAAATCTTTGGCACATCCCTTCAACCCTTCCCGTGCTCCATTACCATTAAATAATACTCTCATTGTTTCGTCTCTACCCTGTAAAGGAAACTTAGCACCATACGAATCCACTAATTGATAATATACATAAATTAGCAATCAGAAACAGAGGAGGCGACAACAGGTTGAAAACAAAAATATATCTTGGGTGTCGCGATTTCACTGGAACGCTTCAAAATTTTCATCCAGTTGTAAACTGAATCAGAATTACTCCAATCAGCATATATATGTGTGAATAGTGGCGGGTTAGGATACGTAACTAAAACCAACACTTAAGTAATTTAACTGCGGATACTGTACCTCGTGGAACGCCTTGCTGGAAGGGACCTCTTTAACGAGAAAAAAAGAGATCAAGACCAAATCGATATTTTGTTACTGCAAATTTCTTGTTCAAGAGTTAAAACGTTGGGAGATACTTACAGTGGCGACAATGACGGGGTTGATGGTGGCGATCTCTGCGAATTCATCATCTTCTTTATCTTGACTATCATCTTTCAATTCTTTAAAATATCTTCTAAACAGTGAATTAAATTCCATTTCTTCCCATTAAGTTCATTTTTAACATCGTCTTCAGTAGAAATATTTCGATCTTTAATATCACTCATCTTGACGTTATTCGTTTTCCAAAGAATCATATTGTCGGAATTAGCAACTTTTTTCTCTCTACAAAGATGATCCCTGAGAAGTAAACTGTTAATTTGGTTAAGAAGATTTTTTGTTGAACAAACTTGACGAACTTTCCAACTTCATCTTTGAAAATGGCAAGCGGAAATAAAATGTTATTGTTTCCTAGAAGTAAACAATTGTACGACTTTTCCATTTCGATTACCATATTGCTATAAAAGTGATAAAGTATTTAAGAGAAAGTTTAAGCGAACTTACAGTATAATAAAGTTTGAAGGTATATATATTTTATATACTTTTCTGAATACATCGTGAACTTTTGGTGGCTTATTATGACATAATACAGCAAAAAAATTAATAAGCATAGTAAAAAAAGTAATTTATCAGTACACGAAAAAAATGATTAGATTTTGATTCTCCAACGAATTCTCAAGGTATATATACTCGAACTCGTTCGCCAAACCCGAAAAATCATAGTGCAGGCAAGAATTTACAATTAGTGTCAGCGCCACTAGTAAGCATGTGACATTTATCCAATTAAATTGAGGAACAATATGGCGTAGTTGATTATTTTATTAAATAAAATAAAATATTTGATAACAAATAATTACTGAAGTAAAAGGCGTACTTTTATTTGATCAAAGCACTGTTATGATGCCAAAAAATCAAAAAATTACAAATTGCAAGCAAACCACAAAAAAATTATAATGTACCGTAAATTTTTATACATATCAAATAAATTGATTTTTTTGCTTTTTGATTGGATAATAAATCAAATAACCAATGTTTGAAGGTAATTTATTTTAAAAAATATAAATTCTTTTTAATTGAATATTTAAAGTAATAAAATAAACAAGTATTTAATATATTAGACCACAGCTTGTCAAGCATTTAACGAGCTACGAATAAATTCAATGAATGGCAAGTAACTTAATGTGTATTATTATTACAAGAATTTTTTTTATCTAAAATTATTTTAAATAGTTGTAATAATGATAAAACGCATACAGTATATATATATATATAATATATTATTCATCTTACTGTTATTTAGTAGATAAAGATGAAGTACATCACACACAGTGAAATTCAATAAACTGGATCTATCGGTTCCACTCACTAAAAATATCCAGTTTATCGGGATCTGGTATAGCGAAAAATTTTTGATGTATTGAAAATCTGTTATACTGAATTTTTAAAAATTTTTTCATGATAATAAAACTAATATATACTAATTTTAATTTTTTCATCTTAGTTTTAAGTCACAGAGGTCATGAAAATGAATATAAAATATTAATTGATCCCTACCCAGGTTTTATTTTAATCACGCAATATTTATTAAAATCGTGGTCAGTTATTTCGTACCAGCCCTAATTGAATATATAAGTAATATATAACTCCAGCCAGAATTAAATTTTAGGATTCTGGCCAAAATTAAGATTTACCGCATCACGTTACTTAAAATTTTATTGGTTAATGATCACGTGCTACGATATCGAGTGATTTGGTTCCAGCAAAAAAATCGAGACGTTTCGCCGAAGCCATTTCGCTGAAAATGATAGAAATGATATCGATTATCACTTTTATAAAAATATTAATCGCGCAATGAAAATAAAAAATTTTTTATTTATTTATTAAATTACATCAGGAACCTTAATAAAAAAAATACATAAAGACTATTGGATAAAACAAAAGGTTATCATTAATAGTTAAAAATTAAGCCGTGAAATCATTAATAATGAATGTTACGTGAATTTACTAGCGAAATAATATTAAAATAATACACAGTGAAATTCGATAAACCGGATCTTCGATAAACCGGATTTGGGCCTAAACCGGACTTTTTTGCTGGAACCAAATCACGTATATTAAATAGGTTCGATATACCGGAGTTTACTAGTAAAAGCTCGATATTCGCTATTACGGACCAATTTTCTAACCAGCTATAGTAAAAAATGATTCGATAAACCGGATCACGTGATTATCAACCAATAAAATTTAAGTAACGTGATGCGGTAAATCTTAATTTTGGCCGGAATTATAAAAATCTTAATTCCGGCTGAAGTTTTGTATTACTTATATATTTAATTAAAATATTTTATATTCATTTTCATGACCTCTATGACTTAAAACTAAGATGAAAAATTTAATTATAGTGTATATTAATTTTATTAGCATTAAAATTTTTTAAAAATTCTGTATAATAGATTTTCAATATATCGAAATTTTTTCGCTAAACCGGATATCCCGATAAACCGGATATTTTTAGTGGAACCGACAGATCCGGTTTATCGAATTTCACTGTGTATACAGATTTAGTTTATTTTATTTTTACGCAGTTTAATTTTGTATGTATTTTTTTTATTTTAGTATATACTGTAGTTTATTTGGTATAGAACTGGAAGATTAGCTATGATCGAAAGTGGTTTAATAGGTGTAAATAATTGTATGATATTTAGCATAAAAACAATAACTGATAAAATAAACAAATGTAATAAATAATGTCCATTCGGCGAAAACGTCCCTTCGGCGAAATGTCTTGATACCCAGAAGTTAGGATGATTATTATTTCACCTTTTTTCATCATAATAATACTATAATAATAGTATTCTTTAAGATTACTGTTTCACATAATATTACCCAGAGCAGTTTCATTTTTAAGAACATATCCATTCATGTTACTATGGTTTTTTATCGAATTTACGTCGCTTCAAACCAATATACTGTACTTGATAATATTTAACAAGCAAAGCACACTTGATCATTAATTCCCACAACATCCTATCGTCCGAGTGATGCACCAAAAAGATCATATGATTCTTCCCACTTTTTATTATTAATCACCTAATAAAAAATAAATTGGGTATATTTTAACACGTGATATACTATAAATGGCGTGCAAAATTTAAATTTTCTTTATTTATACCCAACAAAATAATTATGTTGCCCTCTTAAACAATTCAGGAACGTTGATACGTCTAATTCAAGCTAAAATTTTCAATGTTTCTTTTTCATAAAATAACTAAATAAGAACAATAAAGTAAAATTTAAAAAGTAAAAACGAGAACCTCAACAACAAAACAAAATTACAAAGTTTTGAATGATTAGATATTCGCTGACTTCACTCAAAAAAATTATTAATTAATAATATATAAAATTTTATTACGCACAAAGTAAGGTAATTTAAGTAATGAAGGAAATCTTCACCTTCCCTATTCTATTATTGATGAAATAATTGATAGGACGTTCTATGGTAAAAATTAAGGTATGATTAATTAATTAAACTCAATTAGTTATTGAAATAATTAAGCTTCAAAAGAAAATAAATGTCCACCTCGTTCCTTAATTTCCCTTATTAACTAACCAACATTAAATATCCAAATAGAAATACAGTAAAAGATTTAATAAATATTTCTTTATTCATCTCACTAACCTCTCTTTTGTATTAATTTGTTGATTGTCATCGCTGTCGCATACCCTATAATTATACTAAAATTCTCAATTCTTAACATTCTTAAATAAATGACTGCGATTCTTCATAAACTACTTTCACGTAGATGCTGAAGCATTGAACTTGGTGCCCACTTATGCTGCTTGTGCTACTTTGAATCGCTATCTCTATTATTCAAATTTTTGTTTAATATATTACCTTGTGGACTTCTATTGATTTCTGTTAGGAATTTGACTATAGTTGATAATTTTAAATTTTTGATTTCTTTCGTGCATATCGCTTCGCAAATTTCATAAGTTTCCTCTTCTTATGAACTCGATTCTTTATAGCCGCACGGAATTCATCTAAATCGATCCCTTTTCTGTTACGAGACGGTAACAAATAAAAGCAAACAACTTTTTTTCCATCAACAATATCTTATCTTTTCGTCCAAACAACTTAAATATTATTCGGATTAAGTTTCATTGAACTTACAGTTTCAATAATTCATTATATGAACAAGAACTTGGACATGTACAGAACATAGAAAGTGAAATGGACGACTTCATAAGAATTCTATTGAGGTAGCACACCATAGTCGGCTACCAATATAGTGAATAATACACGAATACTGTATAATTATTTTTAATGAAGATGTTATATATTGATATATCTTTGAATAAATAAAAATTTCTCTTTATTTTCGAAAATTTAATACAAACGAAAGAAATAAAAAGAATTTGCTAATATTTTTTTAAAAAAAAAATGAGATAAGGAAACGTTTAAAGTAAAATTTCAAATATAACCTATAATATATTGCACAAAAGACTTGTTCAATAAAACTATTAGACGCGTTAAAAATATAAAGAATGTACTGATAATTCTCTATTACAATTAAAAAATCAAAGTAGAGAAATATCCAATGAAAACTTAAAATAAACTTTCACATTTGATGGAAGAATCGTTTTTGTTAAGGGATTGATACGTCAAGTTAACTCATTTTTCTTATTTTACATCATTTAAAATAGTGGTTAATTATTTTATTATTATTTATTATTATATTATTACAAAGTAGTCAATTTTTTTTCCTATAATCGGATGGTGCTTTCAATGAACAATGTAAAATTTCAGCATTCTTTTCTGTGTCGGGAATAAAGTTTTCATATAATAATATTTAATTTTTCCTTTTTATTAGCTTAGTCATCAAGGGATAATATTTGCTTCTAAAAAAGCTTCCTGATCTTTATCAGGTATGAAATATGATTCTGCATGTGAAGATAAATTATTTTCTCGTGCACAACTTTAGTAGAAATGATACACAAACTATAAAAATGAATTATTACTTTATTTATTAATATCCATTTTCAATTAACTCGGTGTACCAACAATGATTTATTATTATTATTATTATTAATTTTCAATTTTATCAATAATCGCTAAATAAATATTTCATATAATAGGCGTTTTTCATTGTATATGTAATGTTTTAGCAATTGCCAGAGTCATAGATTTGATGATTACGTATATCACATGATAGTTTCTCATTTAAAATAAGCTAAGAAATGAATTATCGGCAAAAGTATGACATAACCCAATTCCAGGAGTTAATCGCAAAATAGATATATGAAAAAATCCGAATTTCAAAGAAATCATTGTAAAAAAAAAAACTTTTGAACAATATTTTTTAAAAATGTTTCGTGAATATGTACAATATTATACTTGGACTGTCTCTTATACACATCTAGATGTGTATAAGAGACAGATATTATACTTGGATACGTACTATAACACAATACTTATCAAATGGGTGAAATAAATAGCTTCATGTTCTTGATTTCTTTATTTATTAATACCCGTCTTTAAATTAATTCAATTGGCTCGCGTTTTGGGTGTATTACTCGCATTTTTTTTATTTATTGTTTAGTTTAATTAATTTATTATTATTATTATATCAATTATTATAATAAATTCTTTCACATTACGTGACTTTTACAATAGATGGCGTTTTTTTTTATTGTGATTCATTCTAATTACAAATCGCTTAATAAAGCTTTTCCTTATTTTTCTCTTCTCTTCTAATTCATTTTCAGCTAAATTTTACAAGGTTAATTTTATTTTTCGTATTAACAAATGTCTCTAATTAATAAAACGTAATCAATGTTAACAAGAAATTATGTATTCTTTACATAGTTAATATCTTTGTATTTTTTTGTTATAGTTATCATGTCAATACAAGTTACACGTGTAGGAAACCAAAACGAATTTAATATTACCTTGCCTCCTGTTATTACTTTCACAAGAGACCTTGAGAACGAAAATTGTAAAGAGTTTAATGCTATAATTGTCGGTTTGATCGAGATTAAAGGACAGGCGTTTAAAATTCCATCATCAATTGAAATAACGAGCGCAACAGTTCTTGGAACTGGAACTGATCTTGGATACATAAATCATGGAGACCAGGAACAAGAAATTTCTTTTAATGTGAACGTTCCGAATGTTGGAACTATTAACAACAGTCGCGTTAGACTTTACATGCAGTCTGGAACGATCATACGATTACAATACGATATCCAAATTGGAAACAATATTATTAATGGAGACGAAGTAATATTTAATTTTTAAGATAGTCCTATTTCCGCGTTGATTAAATTCCTTTGAGATACAATCTCAAATTTTAACGCCTATGGTGTGTCGGTTAATTATATTTTTTTTTGATTTCATTTTTTATAGTATACATCATATATTTATTACTATTTATCTTCGACAAAAAGTTGTAACAAATTATTTTTATGTAAAGTCTTATTATAATCGTTAAAAATAAATTTGATCTTATTATTTCTTAAAATATAAGAATGAATTATTATTAATTGACTAAGTTCTGGCAGAATCGACATAAGCAAATTTCTTTAACAAGTCAAGAAAATTTCGCTTAAAAGCAAAGAATAACATGTTAAATTTTCGTCAGTAGAAACTTTCGAAGAATTAACTCGTCTAACCAACACGATCTATGCCTTTAGTTATATCTTGTCGATTAAAAAGAAACTCATTCAATTTGTGACTATTATGACTACTATGGCAAGAATTACTCATTAAATTTTTCTGATAGTCATACAAGGGTATGTACAAACTCTATATTCGAATTTTATTGTTTATTCTTTGATCCTTCGAACGCTCTTTGATTAATCTAAATTAATTAATGGAATTTCTATTTAAATGAAACAGCCATAGGAATTATATCATTTTTTTCATTGTTTGATATTAACAAAGATTGTTCGAATTTGCATCATTAATGAGTATATGAATCAAAGGTAAATTTTTCTATAAATACTTATGTCCCAATGTAACTTATTAAATTATGCAATCAAGATTTAAGAAATAGATAAATCACAAATCTATAAAATGATGGAGGATGAACGCCAATAGCGTCTAGCGTCTTTATACCATTTTCTAGACAAAATTGGTCTTTATATTCGTGAATTTTTCTTTCCCTTATGAATTTCGCTCATAACAATATTTCTGGCTCATGCCAATCATTTCATTATATATCAGATTTTTTCCAATACATAGTTTCAAGATTAATAAATTTCTTAATTGCATTTTTCTAAATTCGTACTTCATTATTTTTTCAGAGCTTCAAATAACCCGATTACAAGAGACCAAAATCCAAATAAATGAAAAGGACGTACTTGTTCATCAACTTTTTACTAAGGCGTAAACAAGCTGGTAGTTTATTTTTTATATATGGCAAATTTTTTGTTTATTTTATTCATGAACAAACATTTCATTTCTAATTAAATTCACATTAATAAATACTTCTTATATTTTAAGTTTGGTTGATGATCGATACCAAACACTACTTAGACAGATCTCTCGCCTAGTAAGATTTACATCTTGTACGCGACCTAACAGGCGCGAAGGAAACCCTTCTCAAAGTACACCTGAATTTATAACATCAACATCAATTTCCTTCTCTTCTGATAAAAGGAATTGCTAAGTGACTATTCACAAAAGAATTATACCGATCAAGCGTAGGTTTTAACTTTAGGTAAATTTCAAATTCGATTAACGTAATCTTGATGATAAAATTTTGTAAAATTTTATTTTTAGAAGAAAAAATCTTTAATTCTATCTATAAATCAAAATTTTGTAGGTTAACAAAATAATGAATAGTTATCATAGTAACAAACGTTATCACAAATCGTGCGTTTATATAATATTCCTTTTTCTCCCGCCGTGAATATGACATGGTTGAAGTGTAAAAAAAAAAAAAAATATGCTGACGAAGCAAAGTGAGTATTTTTTAATTCACTCATTAGTAAAAAAAAAATAATGATTCTAATAGTTCTTCGATCATTAAATTACCATAGAAATACTTTAAATTCAGCTGATCGTCAATATCAGATGTTCTAGCTAGTTTAGTAAAAAAAAGTTTCCCGGAAAAAATATTAGGCGGATTTATTTTCACATGACTTCGGATACTGATTTCCGGTTGTTATATTTATTATCAAACCTTCGTTAAATTAATCTCTCCTTTTTCTCCTTTTACTATGTATGTCACAATGTTGAACTAACAAAATAAAGCTTACAGAGGTATCATGTTTTTCAAAACTATGAAGAATATCTAAATGAAAAGAGTGTTGCCTTAAATGGCTCGCTCAAAAAATAAAAAAAAACTTGAGTTAGTGAGGATAATTATTAGAAGCCTTTTAATTCCTTTATATAAACCAATGAGTTTATGAAGGAGTAAATGAAGAAGTTAAACATGAATTTTTGTAATGAACTTTCATCCTTTCTTGAGAAAAGATGGATCGTCAAAAATTGAAATTGGTCATCACATTACTACATCTATCTCAGAAGGTGATGAATATTCATGGGTTTATCGGGACAAGAACCAAAAAAAGAGGTAAAATGTAATTTATTTTAATATACGTACGGTAGATGACTTTAATATTATTTTTTACATTACAGGTATAATGAATGGAAGTTATTCGCAAATTGGTTAATGTATTTTTCTTGTAAAATTCTCAAAATCACAAAATAAGCGTTCCATTAACTCAAGATTCAATTGTTGAAAATGATTTTATTATTTAAAGTGATGAAGAGAGAGATACATATGAAGTAGATTTGACTTATTTATATGGAATCTTGGACCAAGTATTTATAATTTTATATATAATGAGAATTTTGTATGTAGCTTTAATTGCTATTAATTTCTAGTTACATCTAAGGCCAAAGAGTTGTTAGAAGAATCACGTAACGAACCAAAGGGCTTTTATGGTTAAAAAATGTTCGTCCGAATTGAAAAAAATGAATATTGACATGGATACTAGAAAATAGAAGAATGATGGCAAAAACGTGGCAAAGTTTAATAATAATATAATGTATTAGGAAAAATAATTAAATTTTATAATTTAATAAAACATTTGAATATATTAAAAAATTGGAATCATAATTATAAATTATTTCTATTGCTTTATTATATGATTTTTATCGAAATACAAAAAAAAATTGCGAATCAAGTGTACGAAGTCACGTGTAATCTTTTCCGCGACGTGAGAATTAACGCAATATTTCGAATGAAAAAAAATCGCGCGCTCAATATATTAAGCTCATGCCGCAATCATGGACTATACGTTCCGGATTAACGTAACCGAAGAAAAGTTTATATATAGCCCAACCAATGCGACCAAATAATCGATTTCATCAATCAATATGTAAACTGAGTTGTCATACTATTAATAACGTGTGTTGTTGAAATGAAGGGTCAACGTTTGATTATTACGTCTCATCATATAAGGAAATATGTTGAGAAGGTTGAAAAATCACGGAATTTAGTTTGCTAAAAGTTCCAATAATTCAGATGTTTAACCCATGGTAAGATCTAAGCATGTCTTTTATAACAAACATATTCTATTTATTAATTATATTAAAGGTTCTTAACCCAACAACTAACGATCGTAAAGGTCTTGATTGGCATTATAACTCTGGAACAAACTAACTTTACAATTGACTAGATTTTTGTTCCATCTCTCAATTCCATGACTTCTTAACACACGATCCATTAAACGATAGTTCATTGTAGCCAAAAAGAATAGAGTAATTTTTTTAAAATGTGATAAAATTTGATCTGGTATGAATATAATAATTAATTTTCTCTTTTATTTAGATGCTGGAGCATCGAACTCAAGTGTTTCGTGTCCCACTTTGGCTCGCTTTCTCTATTACTTAGATTTCAAAATCTTGTAGACTCATGCTAAGAATTAGATAACGGTTGATAATTTTAATTTCTGTCCCTTTTTGAATTCTTTCGTGATTCTATCGCTTCATCAAATCTCACAAGTCTTCTCTTCTTATAAACAAAGTCAATCCAATCCTTAATAATCGTATAGAATTCATCCAATTCTTTATCTGTTATGGACGAGAACATGTAAAGGCAAATGAACTTTATCTTCGGTTCATCAACAGTATCTTTTTCTGTCGTTCAAAATACTCGAATTCATACAGTAAATTCATCAGATGAACAAGAGCTTGGTTATGTACGATACATGGAAAGTGAAATGAACGACTTCATAAGAATTTGATTGAGGTAGCACACCATTATGCACGTATGCAATGATTTTTTATTCTTTTTAATATTGTAAGTAAGAAGTCATATATCGAAATGTTTTCGAGAAAATAAAAATTTTTTCTTTTGAAAATCTTAGTGCAAAATAAAAACTAAAAAGAATTATTGCTAATATGAAAAAAAAGAGAGAGAAAAAGGAAAATTTCAAAAGTAAAATTTGAAATATTATATAACACCTCTTTATGTAATATATTGCGTTAATAAGTCGATTAGACGCGTTAAAATACTGATAATTCTCTATTACAATTAAAAATAAAATAAAATAGTGGAAACTAACGAAAAACATATTAACAAAAGCGATTCGTGCAGCTTTCGTGAAGTTGATTTGCAAATAATAATAAATATTAAATACGACCGTCAACAATAAAATATAGAAATAGTCATATTTATTTCTAGATTAATTCAGGAATTGGTACATAAAAGTAACTCACATTTTAGTGGTTATTTATTTTACTATTATTATTCAAAATTTTCCCTTTTTTGATCAATAATTCTTTTTTTCATGTTATGTGATCTTAAAATTCTATAATAGGAATGGTGCTTTCATTGAACAATGTAAATATTTCAGTATTCTTTAAACTTCGTAATTGTGTTTAATAGTGAATAGACCATTTAACTTTTCTTTTTTGCTATTAGCTTGGTCATCAAGGGATAATATTTGCTTCTAAAAGCTTCCTGAGCTTTATGAAAAATTTTGACAAAATCAGAAAAAAGTTAAATATTGATGTCACATATGGAATATGGTTATGCATGCGATGATAAATTATTTTCTCGTGTACAACTTTGTTGAAATGATTACACAAACTATAAAATTAATTGTTTATCAATTTATAGTGTATTAAGTATTATTGTTAATCTTTCAAATTTTTATTTCTTTTTTGATCACTATTAGCTAAAAAAAATTCTATCTTTAATAATAAAGATGGCGTTTTTAATTGTATACGTAATGTTTTAGCGATTGACAAAGTCAAAAGATATGATGATAGTATCAAATGATAGTTTTTCCCCAAACAATTACGTGTTTCTTCATTTACAATAAAGAAATATCGGCTAAAATATGGCATAATACATTTCCAGGGACCTATTACAAGTTAATCGCGAAATAAGTTATATGAAAAGTCCGAATTTTAGAGAAAGTCATTATAAAATCCTTGGAACAATATTTTAAAAAAGTGATTTTGTACAATATTATACCCGGGTACGGGTACGACGGTATCATAATGGTACAATACTTATCAAATAGTGAAATATCTTCACGATCTTGACTTCTTTATTTATTAATACCCGTCTCTAAATTAATTCAATTGGCACGCGTTTTTATGCATATTTTCTTTATTAATTGTTTAATTTAATTAATTTATGTTACAATTTATTATTAAGATCGATAATTATAATTGCTCTCTTACTTATGTGACTTTTACAATAAAGATGGCGTTTTTTATGTGCTTATTCTAATTATCAATAAATACAGAGCTTTTCCTTAACCTCTTCTGATTCATTATCGCCTGAGATAAATTTTACGAGGTTAATTATTTTCGTATCATATTATGATATGTTTTAATAAATAAAAACGTAATTAATGTTAACAAGAAATTTATGTATTCCCTTTATATAGTCGATATCTATCATGTCGAAAGTATTCAATATTACTATTACACCAACTGACACACCAAAATTAAAAGAACTTGGTGGTGATACTAAAGGATTCACTATCACCATCTTAAATTTAATCGAGTTAAGTGGCAAAGTGTTTCAAGATACGAGATATGAAATGGTTGCAACCGACGTTGTGTCTAAAACCAACCTCGGTAATATTAATGGAAAATTGGATGATACCATCATTCTAAACTTTAATGCACCGAACGCCGCCGGAACCTTTTTAGAAGGTAAAGTCATCTTTTACCTGTGGGAGGAAAAGGCATTATATTTAAAATATGAGCTGAAAGGCATAATTGAAATTAAAGATGAAGTGCAATTATTTTATCTTTGAAGGATTGTTGGATTAATTATATTTTAAGTTTCATTTATACTTCATATATGTATTACTTTTCTGTTAATCTTCAAAAAATTGTATTAAATTATTTTTTTGTAACGTCTAATTTGTTATAAATAAAATTGGTCATATCAGATATTTATTTCTTAAAAATTATTAATTCGTTTGTTACACCTTTAGTTAACAAAGACACATGTTTATATTTCCGGTTTATCAACAACTTTTTAACTTTTATAGACTATTATGACCCAATTTTTCAGGTGCTAGTCATATAAGGTACGTGTTTGAATTTTATTATTCACTTCTGATTCTTCCAACGCTCTTTAATTTCAGTATAGTCAATTGATGCAAGAATCTCTACTTCAAATGAAACGATCATAGGAACTATTACCAGTATACTTCTTTTTTTCACTGTTTGTTATTAACCAAAATTTGTTTGAATTTGCATCATTAACGAAACTGTACCACGAACAAAATCTAGGTAAGGCACTTCTATAAATACTGTCAATGTAATTTTTTATTAATCTTAGATCGTGCAATCAAGATTCAAGAAATCGAGGAAAATCACATATCAGGCTGAACGCGTACCTAATCCTAATAATATTTTCCAGATATAACGGGTTTTATATCTACGAACCTACTCTTTCTTATCAATTTCACCCATAATAGTGTATTTCGAAATTCCTGATTCATGCTCAGCCCACTTCAATCATTTCGCGACCGGTAAAGTAAATTAGATTTCCTCTGTATATAAAGATTAATAAATAAATTTCTTAAATTCCTTTTTTCTAATCTCAATCTTTCATTAATTTATAGAGCTCTAAAAATCAAAGTCCTAATAAATGAACAAAGTAAACCATTTGATAAGCAAAGCGATGTAGTTGATCTTTTTTAGTTAATTTTTCGTTTTATTTATTTATTGATAAATATAAAAATGTTTATTTTATAATATAACTATTTCAATCAATTAATAAAAACTTCATATACTTTTAGGATTGGTATACTTATGATTGAGACGAATGAAGATACCAAACACTACTTAGACAGGGCTCTCCCCTAGTACACCTTGCGTGCGACCTAACAGGTACGAAGTCAACCTTCTCAAAGCACATCTGAATTTATATCAAAAATTTTTTTTTTTCTTCTAATAAGAGACTATATGCAGTTATTATAACGATCAAGCGTAGACTTTAACTGTTAAGTAAAATTATTTGTTAATTCGCTTTTCTTTAAGTGTTTTAAGTGTGAAATTTTATTAAACGAAATTTTGTAAATCACAGATTTAAATTAATCAATCAAAATTTTATTAGGTTATCAAAATAACGAATCGGTTTCATTTCAACATAACCACGTTCCAAACTTCTAATCATGCGTTTATAATATTCCCCTTTTAGTGAAGTGAGTTTTTTTAATTTACTCGTTAGTATGAGAATGATATTGCAAATAGACAAATTTACCATGTGATGAAAAATTCGCATTAATAGTTTTTTTAATCATTTACTTAGAACGGTATAGTGAAATTACCATAGAAACACGTTAAAAAAATCAGTCGATGAAATATCATATGATTTAGCGCAGTTTTGTAGATTAATATTACTTGTATATGTATCATACATTTTTTGAAAAAAAGTCTAGATTAGAAACATAATCTAAAAAATGTATTTATTCTTTCAACTTTGTTAATGTTTGGTGGTATTAATCAAGAAAATTTATCATCATATTCAACAAGCGGCAAAGTATTACCAATTTTTGCTTGAACCAGGTAATGGCTTCAAAAATTGTATTTGTCGTTATAGCCTGTTTAGTTGAATTTATCAATTTTTGAATTAACTTTTTCTTTTTGTATTAGTTCCTATTCATATTGATCATTTGTACTAAAAATAATACTTTATAATAAAAAGGAATGTTATTTAAACGAAAGGATGATATTGATTATATATCTCATTTATAAACGTATATATTATAGATTGTTAAGTAATTATTCATTCTGAATAATTAAATCCGCTTTTATAGGCTGAATAAACGAATCATGAATAGATAAAATCAGTTACGTTATCTTGATTTCATGTGAAAAAAAAATATTATTTTTTTGTTAATAAAATAATTATGACGAAAAAAAAATATGATATATAAATTTATTTCAAAAGAAATTATCATAGAAATATAACAAAAAAAATTTATTGACATAATTTGAAAAAGTTAAATGTAAAAAGCAATAAATAAATCTTTTTTTATAAAACTACAAATCATAAAACTACAAAGTAAACGTTTTTTGATCGACATAAAAACAAGAATTAGCATTACTTTTAAAGATCGACATATAAAGTAAACATATCATTTTTCTTAACGTTCATTTTCTTATGCAAAAAAAAAAAATTTACCTTCAAGGCATAAATCTTGATAACAAAAAACTAATTGTTTCATTGCTGTGATTGCTGCGTTTATGTCACAGTAGTGAAAATTCATAGATTTGGTTTTTTTTTAAAAAAAATTGTTTATTTCAACTTATTTACAAAGTCGTTTTTAACGTTAAATTACAAAATTAAAGTAAATAATAAATAAATAAAAGATTTTTAATATATATAAAAGATAATTGTTATTGCAAAGTAATTTTAAAAACCTTATTTACAATTCATCCCTAAATACCGTAAATAAAATAAATAAATAAAAATTGTTAACGAATTAAAATATTTTTGTCAAAGAATAAAAAATTCTTTAACGTCAGGAATTTCAAATTACCCTAGGATTTAAATTGGGATTATAATATATTTATTATTATTTAAACATTTATTAATTATTGTAACAAAAAATTTAAATAATTATTTTACGTACCATAAGTATCAAAATGATGTTTCTTTATATTTTATTGTAGCATTATTTTTTCGCCATTATAATCATTTTGAGCCATTAATCATGAATAATTATCCGACTACCATTCTTTGAATTTATTTGTAGCCTGTTAATTATATTACCAAATATTCATTATTCATCGGTCGGTAATAAAAAATAATTTTTTTTTCGTATATTACGACGGAAGCAAAATTACTGTACCTTCAAAAGTCTGATTAACTTAATTTGTTGACTAGAAATAAAAAAAAAATCAATTAATTATTGAATAATACACTATATCGTTATCATAAATACTTACTATTATTTGGAATTTCAAAGTCGTACGGTTTACTGTGGAACGCTACGTTAAATTAAAGATATTGTAAAAATTGCTTATAATTAAATTAAAAACAATAAAAGCAGAAATTGTCAATTTATACCTTCTTGCTCTTCTATTGTCATTTAATTAAAAAAGAAAATATTTTATTAAAAGATTTTAACCAAGTATATATAGTTAACAAATACCTTCTGTCGCATTTTTTGGTTCAAATAAATTTTCGAATTGATAAATTTTACTTGTAGACAATAGGCTGTTTGCATAATTTGTTTCTGTTGTCTCAAAATCACTTGTTATAATTATTTCTATATCATCATTTGCTTCAAATTCATTTGTATTTTGATACGATAAATTAATTTCATCTATTTTTTTTAAAATCGTATAAATATCAGGCCTTTTTAATGGATCAGAATCCCAACACTGTTTCATTAAACTTTTATATTCTAAGGGAGTTCCTAATACATTCTTTGGCCTAATACCATTAACAATATTCATTGCAAGGTCATAATTATGTTCATAACCAATAAATGGTCGTTGTCCAGATGAAATTTCCCACATAAGCATTGCAATACTATAAATATCAGATGCTTTCGTAGTCTGTTTTCCAATAATAACTTCAGGCGCTATATAAGGAAGATTTCCATATGTACTTTTTAATGGTTTATTAACGGGTCCACAAAATCCAAGATCACTAATACAAAATCGTTGATTTAATTTTGAATACAATATATTTCCAGAATGTAAGTCTCTATGAATTGCATTTTCCAAATGAATTCTATAAAGTGCATTAATTATGTCACTAGTAATTTGAATTCTTTTTTTCCACGTAAGTTGTTTATGATTTTTTTGTAAATATTTTCTTAAATCAATAGCCATTTCTAACATTACAAGCATATAATTTTCATCTGAAGGATCTTGTGTTATGCCGTAACATTGAACTATCGATGCCCATTTATTGCTTATGGTTAAATGCGATTTCGCCTATAAAAAAAAGTAATATTTTTTTAAATATAAATATTATATGTGCTGTAATTAATTTTAGATCACAAACCTCATCAAACCAATCTTTACTTGAATTTTCAATATTTCCTAATCCCTTAAGTACGATTTCTTGCGTTCCAAATCTCTTTAATTGCTTTTGTTTAGGATTCCATTCGAAATAATGTCCATCAATCCAAATTGCTGTATATATTTCAGAACATCCACCTTTTGTTAGATATTTAATATTTTGAAAGTTTTCATACGGAATCCATTCAACTATCATGTCCGGTCTAAGCGTTTCTATTTGACATTTTCGTATTAAATTATCAATATCATAATTTCCAGATGACCATTTGAAAAATTTGCCTCTAGATAATCTCGAACACAAAATTCACAATATGTTGTAGCTAAACATTCTTGTTTACAATTTTCACAAATTCTTTTTGTTCCTGAATTATAAAGAATTTTGTGTCTATCATAATTTTTATTTAATATTTTTATCGCTTCAGTTTTTTCATCATTTGTAAGAGAATCATCAGTAAGAACTTGTTGTTTTCTAAATTCATATTGTTTATGTATATCATTATGAATATTATAATCCACTGATTTATATTACTAATTGTCGTATAAACTAATTCATTTCGAATATCGGACATTGATGCAATTTTTTTTTTTTCGTAGTATATAAAATTAAAATTGAATTGGAACATTATATAATATTTTTCATGTGTAACGGTCTATACGCCAAAAAATTAATTTTTTTACACTATTAATTATCCGGTTCGCGGAAAAGACTATCTCCTTTTTTCTGTGTCCTTTCACAAAAATCACCACTATTTCCTTTTTTTAATTGTCCCCTGAACGAAATCAAGATTATCACGTAACACTAAAACTTTAATGTTAAGAAGTTAATTTGGTTATTCGTTATTTTTTTTTTTTTTTTTTTTTGAATAGTGTCGAAATGAACTATAACTACGATTGAAATAGTTGATCTGTGTCGAATTTTATTTACAAAAGTATTTATTAAATATTTCTAATGGTGTTTTTTAATAATCCTTAGTTAATATCATCCTAACCGCACCGTCACAGTCGTCACACCGTGAACTTTTCTTGTTTGTCACACAATTGTGTGTCTCATCAATTATCACGAGATATCATGAGATAATCGATCTGCTCAAAATTTTTATTCAGGATGCAAAAAAAAGGACATATAGTAAAAATTAGGATTTATTAGGAAATCATCAAATACAAAATTAATTAAACACTAAAAAATAATTATCCAAAGCATTGATAAAAAAATGTATACGCATTGCTCATTAAATCCATTTAATAAAAAAAATTATATAAGAATGTACCTTCAATCATCCTGTATAAATACAAATAGTAATATAATAATACAAAATTAAAAATTCTTAATTCTTTCCCAGAAACACTTCCTTAATTATCTTACTGATCTTACCATAATTTTTGCGCTATTCACCATATTATGTATAAGCTCGAGCTAGAAAAAATGAGAAGATGAGATTGTAAAGATGCGAAGTCTTATTTCTTTTCAATATGGATGTGTACATATGAAAAACTTCATCTTTCCGCCACCATTTAACTAGTAAAAAAATATGTCCGCATTGTGCTACTTACATTGCAGCAGTTACACACTTGGATGATGGTCCAACGAAGATTATGTATTAAAAGTTATGGAATTCATCCTTGTGGATCAAAATCTTGTTTCGGCATTGGTCAAGTGATCTTTTACGAGGGAAATTTGTCGCTTGTGGCAGTGTACGTATTTGATATGTTTTGTCGTTGTGCCTTGATTTGCAATTAAATGTCATTGATTGTTTTTTTATAATCAGACCAATTCTACATCGATTAAAGGTAAACCTAGGTTTTGACATTTCTGTGGTTGATTTAAACGTTGTATCACTACCAGGACCGTCAGAAGCTTAAGCAGCCAATCAATCATTGGTTTTGCATGAAATGAATCTGGATGATAAAGAACAGGGTGAATTTGGTTTGAGATTAGAGATAATACGAACTTCAAATATTCTTACAAATAAGATGGACATGATAAATTAAAATATGAGATCAGCCACCACCGTGTTGATAGATTTGCTGTCCTGTCCTGGACGAAACTAATAGCGTAGAGGAAGGGAGCATCGCCTGGAAAACACTTTCTGGTACTTGACGGTTATACTGATTCTAACTTACAGGAACGTATCCATTACACAATAATCGGCCAATATCCCATGACGAACAACTAACAGGAATCAAAGTAGATCACATGGAACATCACCGAGACATCACTAAGAGACCGTGGAACATTAATCGCATATTGGATCTACTGCTTTTTCATGAGCTTTGGAGTCGAACCCGATCCATGCATATTAGCACCATTCCTAATAATAAAACCCAACAAGAGCCATCGGATGAATAAATAACTTTTTTTTATCGTTAAAATTTGAAAAAGGCTGAAATCATCTTATATTAAAACATTACCTCCTCATGAGTGTTCTCTTATATAGAGAAACATATTTTCATCTCCTTTTTTTTAGCTCATAGTTAATTAGTTATCGATTTTCGACTTCTAAAATATCAATAAACCCATGATCTTTAAACGATTCACTAAATTATCCGAATGACCATCCGTGAAAAATCCGCTACCGATATTTTAAAGCACATCAAGAATTGACGTAATTCTTAATGTAATTGATTATGTGTTATAATGTCTGGGCTTTGCGGTCCGGCTAATGTAACAGAAGAAAGACCGTAAACAATGTGCCAAATAATCGATTTCATCATCATATGAACTGAAATTGTTAAATTTGGAAATAATTAGCCAGTACGCCTCGAATTTTTAATCATCATGTTGAGAGAATATGCTGTAGCTGATGAATTTTCAATTAAGAAGATTGAAAATTGCGGAATCTAGGTTCCAATGATTCAATTGTTAATCCATGACAGGATCTTTAAACTCAAGTTCTTATAACAACAAATGACACACCTCATAAATTAACGACCATAAAGATTTGAACTTTATAAAACCATTGAGGTTTCATTGAATTTGCAAAACTTTTTCTCTCACTTTCCAGCTCTGACTTCTGAGGAACGAGTTCTTCTTAAATGAGTCTTTTAATGGATAGTTGTTAAGTAACGCATCTTTCACGTGGTGATGTAGTATTGAACATTTTGTGCTGCTTGTACCACTTTGACACACTTTTTTTTATTACTCAGAGATTTTCGTCTATTATGATGTCTCATGGATTTGCTAAGAAAATTGGTCCCGATTAATAAACTTTAATTTTATGATTTCTTTCGCGATTTCACAGATCTCTTTACTAACAACATGAGCAAATTCAATCCAACTCTTTAAAACGCATAGAACTTACCTCAAAGTATCTTATAAAACAGATAAAGCAAACTGCTTTTCATTTCGTCCATACGATTTGGATTAAGCTTTAATTTTCAATTTTAATGAAATCGTCGCACGAACAAGAGCTTGAGATGGCATATATAATCGGCTCACAAATATAATAAGAATATAATAATCTTTGATCTTTTTCAAAATTTTGAAATATTCAAGATAAGTAATCCATAGGCAATATATTAAAATAATTTCGAGAAAATTAAGAAAAATTTTCACTTATTTTTAGTGCAAGCGAAAATAACGAAAATACATATTATATTAAATGGGAAGGAAAATGATAAGAATAAAATTTTGAGTATAACATCTCCCTTATATATAAATACCTTACACAACAGACTTTTGTTAACGTTAAAGATAGGGATGTGCCGATAATTCTCATCATCTACATTTAATTTCTTCCCTTTTTGATAACTCGCTAAGCGATTTCCCCCTTTTAAAATTCCATAATAGGGATGAGCCGGATGGCGCTTTTACTGTATTATGTAATATTTCTCCTAATTCTCAACTTCACGAAATAAAGTCTAATAATAGACACATAAACAGTAACGAAAATTATATTAAATTTGGTGTTGTTATCACGTAAAGGATTTACTTCAGAGTAATTATTTTCTCATGTACCATGTACTGTACGACTCTTTCATTATTCATTACACAATCGAAATGATACACAAACTGCAAGTGAATTGTTATTTTATTTATTTATATCATCTCTAGATCCAATTCAATTGACGTGCATGTATCAGTGTTACCAGGGTCATCTATTAATTAAAAATTTCTCATATTATGCAACTTTCAAAATAGGGATGGCGTCTTTCATTATGCTTAGGAATTTATCAACTTCATAGAATGAAATAAAGTCTTATAAAATGTAACTCTTAACTTTCCCATTAAATCGTCAAGTAAGGGATAATATTTGCCTTTTAGAAGTCTCTGGATCTTAATTATATCATTGATAATATTATTCCCGAGTCCCAATTTGATAAATACACCATCATTTGAGACGATACAAACTACGAAATCTATAGTAACTACTTTAGTATAGTACATTTCCCGGGAACTATTCAAGTTGATCGCAAAGAATAAAAAAATATCTGAATTTCATTCATTATAAAAAATGGAATTTGTACAATATACCTGAGTACCTTTAAGGTACTTATCAAATAAGTGAAGTACCTCCGCAATCTTGATTTCTTTATTTATTGATACCCATTCTAGATCAATTGATCTAATTGGCTCTCGTATTGGTGTATCACATAATCTATAAATATAATTTATATTACCGAATATTTTATTATTGATCAGTAATCCGCTAATCAATTCTCTCACGTTATGTGACCTTCATAATAGGAATGGCGTTTTTTTTTTATTGTGCTCATTCTAATTACCAATCAGTTAATAATTATTATCTTCGAGTTCATTATTCGCCCTAGGATAAAAATTTCAAGGTTCATTTTTTTTTCCAGAAATATTATAGAATATTCCAAATAAATATAATATTAACAAGAGAATTTTATGTTCTTTTACATAGTTTCGACATATATTGTACTAGTTTTTTTTGCTATAATCATGTCCACACAAATTAATCGTGGAGAGAACGAGAATGAGTTTAACATAACCATGTCGCCAGTTATTTCTAATCCAAAAGACCTTAATGATAAGAACTGTAAAGAGTTCAATATAATAATTATCGGCTTTATCGAGTTTAAAGGAAAGGTATTTCAAGTTCCACCGTCAGTTGAAATGAGTGTAACTGATCTTGGAACCGGAACTAAACTTGGACACGTAAATGGAGACCTGGAACTAGAACAAGAAATTTTTTTGAACGTGAACGTACCGAATGCTGGAACCTTTATAGAGGGATACGTAAGACTTTATATGCAAGCTGGGATGATAGTACGATTAAAATACGATATCAAAGGTGCCGTCAAAATTAATGGAGATGAATTATTATTTAGCTTTTAAGATAGTAGCTTTATTTTAGACGTATTGATTAAATAATTTGAAGCTTAAATGAAAAAATGATGATAAATAATTATTGTCTTACAGCTTTGAGGAAGAGAGACAATTCCAGAGTACTTTTGTCGTTTGACGTTCACGGTGTGTCAGTTTAACACAGGTTTTATTTATCTGTACACATAAATATGTATATAATTGTTTATTTAGAACTAAAAATTGTAACAAATTATTTTTATGTAGTCTTATTGTTAGAAATAAATTGAACGTTATAAATGAATCATTAATTCATTGAGTAAAACTTTCAATTAATATATAGGAGATACAAGCCTATAAGGCTCAGTAATTTTGCCACTATTATGACAAAATTAATCACTCAATTTTCAGGCGCCAGTGTTTTTTAAACGTTAAAGAACAACTAATAAGATAAGGTACGTGTTAGTATCGGATTCTGTATATTCGAATTTATTATTTATTCTTAATTCTCCAAATGCTCTTTAATTTGGCGTTGTTCATAAGTAATTGTTAAATCAATTAACGCAAGAATTTTACTTCAAACGAAATAATGAAGCCACTAGTATATCTCATTTTCGATGCTTGACATTATCTGAGACCGTTTGGGTTTGCATCTTTGTACCACGAACCAAATATAGGTAAAACTTTTCCATAAATACTCTATAAATAAATCTTCATTTATCTAAGCTCATTGTGTCTCAATGTTTCTTTCTTTTTGAACATAGATCATATCATCAAGAAATCAAAACCCTTAAAACCATTAGGCTGAATGCGAGCTACGTAAGTATTACAAAATCTTAAGAGTTAATTCTTAATAGTCTCTTTATTTCATTTTCTAGATGGAGTGGTTCTCGTGACTGTGAATTCTTTAATTTTACTATAATAGTAACTGCTGACTCGTGCTCATGTCATCCATATCAATCAATCAATTCATGATCGAGCTATATCATTGAAATGTTTTTCAGTAAGCTAGATTTCCTGGTATATAAAGAGTCTCAAGATAATTCTTAATTACCTTATTCCAAACTCAATCTACATTTCAGAGCTTCAAACAACCCGAATTTAAATAAATGACGAGAACAATATACTGATTATATTGGCACCTACTGAACAAGGAAACGTAGTATTTGCTCGTCAACACATAAACTAATCATATGTTAATCGACATGATGGTAGTTTATCTTTTTTTAAATGGCTTATTTTTCGTTTTATTTATTTGTTGACAAAATGTTATAACGTTTCATTTTCTAATAATACTATTACAAATTATTTGAATAAAATTCTTTTATTTTTTAGGTTTTGTTAAGAAGCCTCGAGATGATTGAGATTGGCGATAGCTTGTTTTACGACCCCAAATACCCTAAACAGGACTTCCGCCTAGTAAGATATACGTTCTTGTCCTCTCTCTTTCCCTTTTAAAGGAAATATTTGATATGTCTTATTGCCTACCCTAATTCGCATATATCTCAAATTCTTTTTAATATAAAAAAGAATTGTTAAGAGGCTATATACATAAAAGATGATAACGATCTAGTGCTATAGCTGTTAGGTAGATTTCATATCAATCAACATGATCTTAACTGTTTTTGTTCGTGTATTGTGAAACTAATTTCTTTTTTTTTTTATTAGAGTAAAAAATTTTTGTGCTAATTATGTAAGACAAATTTTGTAAATCTTACAGATTACAATTATATTTGATAAGGTCGAATCTGGTGACAATGGCTAATGGGATTTTGTTAGGTTCAAATAGCGAATCGCTTTCATCTTATCATGGCATTTCTGACATAATGTATGTGAATTGTGAAATTTTCTTTATTTTCAAAATTATTTAAATTTTCTCATTAAACTTACTAAGCTTTTAGTTCCTTCGCGAGAGAAATTATTTGATAACAATAATTATATACTATTTTATAATGTATCTTCTGATTTAAAAAGAATGCGTGCGTGATTATGACAAGCGTGGTGTTGAGATAGTTAGAATTAAGCTGACATGATGAAATGAGTATTTTTATACATTTGCTCATTAAGTATGGAGAGTTATATGTGTAAAATGAGGTAAATTTTTCATGGAAAAAAATCTTCGCATAGCAATTTTTTTTTCTTTTATTAACAGGTTTTGATCATTTATTAGCAATTATTGAGAAATTACCATAGAAATACGGTAAAATTAGCTTACTACGTTTGAACAAGTGATCATCAGTTAAACGTTTTTAGTAAAGTCGCTTACATCGATCGTAGTTATGTTAGTAGTAAGATCAAATATCATGTGATTTCACACGTTAGTTTGTGTATACTTAAAAATTATAATATTATATCATCAGATATATTAAAAAAGTTTGACAAATAATAATTTTTATTTTTCTTCCAATTTTATTTATTAATAAACCAATCAAAAGGTTATTATTTTCATATTTTTAGTTGTTAAGTAGGATGGGTCAATATTGTTCAGGTATTATCTATATAACAAAGAACGGTTTATTAAAAATTGTATTTCGGTCTTTCTCGTTGAGACATCAGATTTTGACCTTTCCCGTATTGATTTTCCATTTATGTTGACATCCTAGTTATTTCACGGGGAATTGTGATTTTCACGGCTGCGCCGTGAAAATCAGTGACTCCGTGAAATAACTGATTTATCCCACGGTATCCATACTATAAAGCCCTTTAATATACTTATTTTGACTATAATTCTAATAATGATAGACTTTTTATTCCAATATTGATAGACTTTTTACCCATCTTTTCAAATAAACATCACCCGTGAGAATACCAAGAAAAAAAAAATCACAAATTTTAACTAGGAACGTGGGATAATAAAAAGATATGTTATGGATGATAATGATCAAACATCTCATAACATCTCATATATTTTATATATATACACCATATATATACACCACCATATATATACTATAGAAGTTTAGTAATCACTCATTTTGTATATTTGAGTGCTGGGAGGTTGAGGTTTGAAAATGGGTTATATATACGATCATAAAAGGTAAATCAGTTACGTTATCTTAATTTCGTGTGAAAAAAAAATTTTTTTTTTTTTGTTAATAAAATAATAATGACGAAAAAAAAATATGAAATATAAATTTATTTCAAAAGAAATCATCATAGAAATATAGTAAAAAATACATGTCGTACCTTGAAAAGTTAAAAAGTTGATGCAAAAAAACAAAAAATGAAACTTTATTATAGACTATAAGTTATTAAAACTACAAAGTATTATTTTTTTTGATCGACATAAAAACAATAATTAACTTATTACTTTGATCGACATAAAAACAGAATCATTATATAATTTTTTTTCTTAACATAATTTTCGTCATTTTCTTAATACTTTTGTAAAAATTACAAAATAATACCTTCAATTATGAAAAAGTTGTATTGCAGTATGTTGTGTTATTGTTATCATTTAACAACGTTTAAAAATTTAAAAATAATATTTTACGGTTTACATAATATTTTTTATTACAAATTGGTATTATCTTTTTTTTTTGCGATAAAAATTTACTGATATTTACGTTACCTTTACAACTTTAATATTGACAAAAGTCATTGTTCAAAAACCGAACTAAGCAGTAAATTTAATTAGCAATCGTCACAATAATTAAACTAAGTTATCGAATGGTATTTATTGGATTATTAGATGGAGGAAGAGAGACATATCAATAGGAATTAATGCTACTAATCGACTGAACAATAACAATTGATATTATCGATATAGAGAACAAATACATATTAGGAATTATTTCCCAAAAAAAATTTTTTTTTAACAAATAGATTATACTGCAATAGTTAAGAATATTATTTCATGGTAAAGTTTTTGTTTCGATCAGATGTAGAAATGAATGTAAAACAATAAAAAGTGAGATAAGCGAAGCTCTTTTTGATTGTCATGAAAGAATAAAGTAGTTATCATAAAGTCTTCCTTTACTCGTCGATCTCTAATATGAATTTATTCTAGGGTATTTGTACGATTCAAATAGTTTTTCTCGCTCGAAGTGGTCTTTGTTAATTACGCGACAACATTCCTAGTACTCTGAAAGTTCTTCAATGCGTCTATCACCATGATCGTCAGCATATAACGCCCTAATCCTATTAATTTCAACATTATTTTTAAATCGCAAGCAATTTCTTCTTGCGTCAAAACCACTCTTTAAATGTAGAAGATACTGTAAATTAAGTTTCTTGTTCCTAAATAATTGAATAATTGGCAAATTAAATCAAATTAAATCGTATATTCATTAAGTTAAATCAATCTATATCTTATTTTTGCCCTTACATACCCAATATTATACCTTCGAACTTACTGTATGCAGACTGTCAACAAAAATCGTCGACACGTACGCGAAGAATTAATGGCGCGCCATCACCATCACAACTAACCATCACAAAGAATAAATTTAGAAATGAAGGATAATTGGTGCTTCAGATTTCGCCGTATCGATATCGAAGAATTAATATTTCATCAACGTGATAAATAATGTTTAGTTAAAGCTATTTTCTATCGACAAGTGACACACGTTAGACGTTGATCTTGAGTAACACACATATTTCTACGTCTTTCTCGCAGCTTTCCAATTGTAATGATATTTACAGAATTAAATCCTGAGGGAAAAGTTCTCTGCAGATCTCCTGATCACAGTTTTCACGGGTATATCGCTTTAATGGTTCCTCAATATCTTTCAATGAAGTTCAATTAATATTGAAATTTGGAGTAAAAATTACATTTATGACTGCTAAAAAAAATCAAATCGTAAGGAAGGAATTTGGCAGTGTATAGAAATTTGCTCTAGTCATGTCATCAATCTTATCTTTACATATTTGACAATATGCATAAAATCCTTCTCTCCACAATTCATATAAATTACTGTAATAGTTGTTGCACTATTTCGGGTTCATCTTTTTCATTCACTATCGGTCGCTTTTGATGTTTTGTTTACCATCAGGTTTTAACCTTATTTTACTTCCCACCAACGCATCAGATTTAATAGAACATGATCAGGGCTAAAATCCGTAAATAATCCAATACAATTCGAAGACACTGCATCAAAACTTTTGTCTTATTCGACCAATAAGATGTTCACTTGTTCAATAATCATTTTGATTTTTTCTAAATTGAAGACGAATTTTTGGTATATTACGATGATCAAAAACTCGTTCATCATTTTTCATATTAAAAAATTTTCTCGTCATTCCACAAGTTCATGATCATAATTCATGATCATGGTATATTAAATAAAATATCAATAATATATAGCAATGCTATTTTAATTCGCTTTGTTTCTATGACTGAAAGTAGCGTTCTGCAACTCTCAAAGATAATTATTATTTTTTTTTACTCTTGAAGTGATTGAACCGAATCAAGAACTTTCAATGGGGTGATTTGCTCCACCTTGTTTTCCTGCTGCATCATCTTCATAATTAAACAGATGGTTTTTTTCTTGTATACACTTGGAGTTCAACCTAATAAGTTGCCCGATTACGAGTTACACGAGTACGGTATGGTAAATGCAGCTATCTCGCTTTTATTTTTCAAATATAAATGATTCAACCATTCGAAATGGTTCCTTTCTTTTAAGATTTTTTTTTGTGCGCAAAATTCTTCCTTTCGATCTCTAGATTGGGCTTTAGAGATCTTGTTTCCCCACTGTTCATACTAAATAAATTATCTAGAAGTTATACTGGACTTGTATCATTATTTATCGTCGAGAAAACTTCGTAATTAATGCAGTTCCTTTTGCAGCAAACAGCAAACATTGGAGAAGGCAATAGCCATATGATATAGTATGGAAGCGTAAGCACATACTCTAATTGTCATAAAATGTTGGCTTATATTCACTAGTCAAAAAGTTTTCCTAATTGTGTATTTTTTCGTCTATATTAATTCAAGAAGTTACTTATTACTTTTTCAAAAAAAGCATTTCTTTTGGCATGCCAACTTTCCGCTCACTACCATTCTCGTTTCCCCATTCTTCTCTTTTTACAAATAGATTATATCTTTTTTTCATCTGCCGTTGTTGTCCCTTTTTTATAAACTAATTTTCGTTTTGGAAGGTCGTGGAATTATAAAAAAAAAATATTCACATGAAAATCACAGTGTTTATATAAGTATTTTTAACCAATCAACGTCAAGAATTCCCTATCATATTGTGTAATGTATGGTTTAACGTACATTAAGATTATACGCCAATATTAGTGTGGCGTCTATCAAGCCAAATAAATTCATTTTAAAAACTCGGAGTGCTTGATCTCGAATTATTTCTAAGCTAAAATTAACATATAGAATTGTAGTCATGCACAAATACTGACTAATCACTATAATCTTCAGGATTCATACTAGTTATGAAATATGAAAAATTATTATCTAAATACATAATTGATAAAACAACAAATTCATCTAGCTTAGTTACAATTTAGGTAAAGCTTATTTTTAATATTATAGACCCTTTTTATAGCGAATTTTGATATAAATAATTCCACAATACAACGTGTGGACGTGTGGTACCGATTTTAACATAAGAAAAAGTTATAACCGAATATCACTAATTAAATGTGGTATACCATTCAACAAAGTAATTTTTATAACCCGAATATAACAAAATAGCTAAATTTTTGTTTTAAACGAATTTTTTTTGTTTAGTATAACGAAGATTTATTATTGCAAGATAAATGATGTTGATTTTCATGAAATTTTTCTCAAATAGGCAAATTTACTATTTTTACAAATGTTGTTTGGTTTTTATTTTACTGCATTACATCAAATTTCATAATATCGAATAATTCGCTATCGCATTAACGTCGTTATATCGAGGACCGACTTTCTTATGTAAAATTATTCGTGTGAAACAAAAAAAATAATAACCGTACTGTAATTAGTAATTATTATTACCCCAATACCCCTTATCGTAAGAAATACAATTGTATTACACCCCTGCATCAGGAGAAATATCCCCCCATATAGCCCATTGTTAAGAACGACCACTAGTTATTTAAAATCAAACATTACGAGAATTTTCTCCATTTATCAGTTATTGTACATCCGGTTTGTGCAAAAACTTTTTAATTATCCGTTGGTCGTTACCGTAATTATATGTTGATTTTTAATTTTTTAAGAAAAAATAAGTTTTTAAGAAAATTTCAAAAATTTCATCATGTCTGCTGCAGATATCGCAGTTACTAGAGCATTTGAATTAATTGATGATAACATTTACGATGATATACATAATCGATATGAATTTGTAAAACAAAAAATTCTTTCTGATAATTCCCTTAAAAAAAAGGATAAAACTGAAGCAATAAGAATTTTAAATGAAACTTATGATTCAAGTAAAATTAGTGTTAATTCAGGAACAAAGAGAATATGTAAAAATTGTAACCAAGAATGTTTGGCTACACTTTATTGTGAATATTGTGTTCGAAACTATTTAAAAGCAAAATTTTCAAGCTGGGCATCTGGAAACAATAACATTGATATTTTAATACAGAAATGTCAAATGGAAACACTTCTTCCACGTAATATAATTGAATGGGTTCCATACAATAAACTTTATAATATTAAATTCTTAACAAAAGGAGGATTCTCTGAAATTTATAGAGCGCGCTGGTTTAGTGGAAGCTATGATAAGTGGAATTCTAAAAAACAAAAGTTAAAAAGATTTGGAATAGAAAAAGTTATACTTAAAACATTAGGAAATTTTGAAAATGAAAATCAAAGATGGTTTGAAGAGGTTTGTAAATAAGTCTACTTGTTTAAAAAAGTAATAGTAAAAGATTATTAATATTTTATATTATCATAAACATTGTTTTAGGCTAAGTCACATTTAACTATAAGTAATAAATGGGAAGATAGTATTGTTCGATGTTATGGTTTAACACAAAATCCATCAAATGGAAATTATATGCTTGTAATAAAAAAAATGGACATGGATTTAAGAAAATATTTACAACGAAATTATAAACAACTTACATGGAAAAAAAGAATTTTCATTGCTTTTAAAATAATTGATGCACTTGATAGAATTCATGGAGAGAATAAAATCCATAGAGATTTACATTCCAAAAATATATTATATGATCACTATTTTCAAAATATCTGCATTAGTGATCTTGGATTTTGTGGTCCAGCAAGTAGACCACTAAAAAGTATATATGGAAATCTTCCTTATATAGCACCAGAGGTTATTATTGAAGGAGAATATACTTTTAAATCCGATGTTTATAGTGTCGCAATGCTTATGTGGGAAATTTCATCAAGTCAACCACCGTTTATTAATTATGAACATAATTACGATCTTGCAATGAATATAGTTAATGGTATTAGACCAAAGATTGTACCAGGAACACCTTTAGAATATAAAAATTTAATAGAACAATGTTGGGATTCGGATCCATTAAAAAGACCTGACATTATAACTCTTTGGAGTGAAATAAAAAAAATTAATGTTTCATATCAAAATACATCAAATAAATTAGCAACAAATAACTTCTTCAGAATAAATAGAACAAATAGCTTAAAATCAAAAGAATTAAGTTATACAAGTAGTGAATTGTATACGAGTAAACTTCATCAGTTTGAAAATTTACCAGAACCAAGAAATGCAACAGAAGGTATTTTTAGATACATTATTTAATTTTTTTTTTTTAACTCATTATATTAATAGAAACTTTTCTTTTTTCTTCAAATAATAATAGAAGAACTAGAAGGTATAATTAACATTTATTAATTTCTTCATTACAAAATATTAAGAATATTATTTAAATTAAAACAATTTTAGGAATTATAATAACCTTGTATTTAACTATTTTTTACAATATCTTAATTTTTCATAGCATTTCACAGTAAACCATATGATTTTGAAATCCCTGATAATAGTAAGTTTATAACAATAATACAATTTTTTTTAAGTATATAAAAATTAATTAGTTGTTGATTATTTTTTTTTTAGTCGAAGATTTTAGTAAATAGTCAGACTTCAAAAAGTATAATAATTTTATTCGTAATAAATGGAAAAATTTCTTTTCATAATTGAAATAGACAAACGAATAACAAATTTTTAATAATTTTAGGTAGCTCCAAAGTATTTAACATTGACAAGCTTCAAAGCATGGTATGTATGATCGTTAATACTAATTGGTAAATAAAATAATTATTTAAATTTTTATAAAATAAAAATATTTTTTATTTTTGTTTTTTTATAGTAGATAATGGCAAATTTTTATTCAAGAATAAGAAAACCGAATTTAATCACTATTTAATCGCTTTTTTACATAATTATTTATTAGATAAGAAAGAATTACTATAAATTAAAATTAAATATCGCAACATATAATTATTTAGATACAAAGAATTAGCATTGCAACATAATACGAAAAAAATTATAAATTCAAATTATTATTTATCAGTTTTTTATAATTTATTTATTCTTTGCTATTTATATATTTCATTTTACTATTTATATGTTCTAGTATTTTATTTTAAACATTTTATTTACAATTTCTTTTTAGTTTGTAAATTTAATAAATTGCTGCAATTTGTTTTGTGATTATATTGAGATAAACATATTTTTAAATAAATATATTTTAATGTTCGGGCAAAACTGATTTGCAATTGGCGAAACGTTTCGCCAATTTTTTAGTTTCGCGCTTCCCTTGTGAAACTAAAAGTGTCACGTGAAGGATTTTAATTGGTGGCTAAATTTATGTATTTACTTGTGATTCTCACGAAAGAGTAAGACATGTTTATACATAACGCAATAAATATTTCTCATTATTTATGTAGCTAGAATTTATACAGAAGAAATAAATATCGTGTTTTGAGCAAATTTAACAATAAAAGTTTATAATATAATAAATAAATAGAAAAAAATCAAATATTGTTATAATAAAGAGACGCAAATGCTTATTCTCTTTCGACAGTTAATCGTCACTTTTTCAATAATGTCTATAAAAGATTTTACCTTTTTAACACTTAGCTTCCCAAATGTGCCTTCTAGGCTATAACTATACGTCAAAAAAAAAAAAAACTAAAGCCAATGATACTATAAAAATTGAAAAACTTGCGATTTGGTTGTTTTGTAGTGCTAACATATACTGTATACTATGTATCACAAAAAATAAAAATACTATGTTTTGCCAAGCCACGAAAGTTACGAAAGTTAGCTTCGCCAGTCTTGGAAGTTTCGCTAAGGATTTAGTTTCGATTTCGTCCAAAACACTAAAATATAAATCAATTTGCACGAGATAATCCATTTAAATATGTATCATATCGTAATCACAACATATACACTACTGGAAGTCAAATTTTAGGAAAGAAAGATGCTTCAGATTAGTCGTATATCAAAAGAAACGATCTTCATTATTATATTAACGCTTCAAAAGTATTTGTTCGGTTATTTATTTTTTTTGGTAAAATTAAGAATTTTTTATTTATTTTTTTTTATTTCAATCTAAATAAGCATAACGTAGTACGTTACAGATCAATGATATATTAAAATACTTAATATATCATAAAGTCTATCCAATCCCCAGTAAGTATCATGAAATTTATAATAAAAAATCGGGCATATAGTAACTAACAAAATTATTAATTGGTTTAAGAAAAAAGTTTATTATAATCCAAAATTGGTTTATCCCAAATTAAATCCTATCGAGTTCTGAATTGTTACATTTGCACAAAATTCTGACTTTAGCAATGAAATTACTTTTAAGTGAACTAAAAATTTGTGAGAAGGTAAAATGGAAAGTATCAATAATACGGAATAAAGCACAGTCATTACTATTAAATTATTATTAAATTTAAAGAAGAATGTTACAGACAAGTTTATTTTGCAAATATTATTATTAATACAATAATATTATTATAAGAAAAAAAAATATGAAAAATTAGATGAATAAAAATTTAATAATTTAATAATTTTTTTTTTTAAAAAAAGTCTTTGAAGTGTAAATATTTGAGACAAATAACATATAAGTTTCACCATCTAATTTTTTTCAACTTTTTTTTTTCAAACGTGGATTTTCCTTTTTTTAATTAAAAGTAGAGTGCTACGGAGATGAGTGGTGTAGGGGTCAAGGAAATGTGTAGTGTATGGTCCCCTATGTGACAGTTTACATAGGTGATAAATAACACGATGGGCCAAACACGTGATTTTGAGTGGCCGAAATGCTATTCATCACCTGCGTATGGTTCACACCCCTTATTTTACACACCGTTACACACTGCTAAATATCACCATACACGTTGACCCTACACCACTGGTATTTGTCTTACCGATAAAGAGTGACTTACCGATAAAAGTATTGCAATAATTTTTCTATATCGTACAGCAGTCGCATGTAGGGATGGGCAAAATGCGGAAATTTCATTTTATCACGCGCATGATGCGCATGATGCGCATCATGCGCATCATGCACATGATACACATAGTACTGTTATACAGAAAAAAAAAAAATACGATTTCTTTACAAAAAAATAAAATTTTTTATTATTTATTTTACTGAATTATTAACAAGATACATCAGAGTCATCAGCTTCATTATCATTAAAACTCTCTTCGTTTTCACTACTACTATTTACATCTTCATCATAATCACTTTCTTCATTTTCGCCTGAACTTTGAATTTCGTCATCTACAACTCCCCCGTCTAACGAAGTATTTTTATCAAACCCGTTTGTAAACCCTTTCCATTCTGGCGTTTCTCGTGGCATTTGTAATCTATAATTGCTATAAATATACACTAATTTAAAGACACGATCAGCTCTCAACCGGTTTCGTTTTTTATCATGAATGTATGCAAATGCTGACCAATTTCTTTCAGACGCAGCAGATGATGTTGGAATAGATAAAACCTTTTTTGCTACTTGAGTAAGTTCAGGTGCAGAATCACTAAAATTTCCACTCCACCAAGTTATAGGATCAACATTATCAGAAGTTTCCCAAGCAAGTTTATTCGCAAAAACTCCAGTTTTTCTCCTATAATTCAAGATTTGTGTCCAAATAATTACTGCATTATCCGAATAATATTTTTGGATAAACTGCGAAATTCTATCCATTGAATTAGAAGTAAGATGGCAACCATGGAATGATGGATCAAGCAGATGCGCAACTTCCATAACAGGGTGGTAAATACTTTCCCACCTTTTTTTGATAATATTTTTAATACTCGTATTATTTCCGTTTATATCAAAAATATAAACTTGAGAAATTAAATTTGATTAGTAATAATTTAGATTATATTTACCAAAGAAAAAAATGATATTTTACCTGATGATTCTAATTGATTGTAATACCAATCTAATACTTTAGATAAAAAAGGTGTATCCGATTCAAACATAGAAATTCCAATAACAAGTTCGTTGAGAACTTTGAGTAAATTATCAACATCTTTCCAAAACCCATCATTTAATACAATACTTCTCATATCATCATCAATTCTAACAGTTTGATTACGTGATAATTCTGTTACCGTTAATTCAATAGCAAGCTGATTTACTTGAAGTGAATTAAGGCAAATAGCTGATGATCCCCAACGTGTTTTTACAGGTAATTTAAGTGAAATTTGCTTATCATAACTGGATCTTTGATATCGTTTCAGAACTGCAGCTGGAATTTGATGTGATTTGAAATATTTAACGATTTTCTTTCCATTTTTTATAGTACTATCCGCCCAAGGGAGTTTCATAATATCACCAATTAGAAGATTTAAGGAATGAGCTACACAGCCAAGGAAAACTATGTTTGGATATTTAATAGCCAAAAGTTTCCATGCTTTCTTCATTGAAGATGCGTTATCAGTAATAATTGCTGAAAGTTTGGAATGATCAATCTGTGATATAACTTTATCAATGTCGGCTGCAATATTTTCTCCTGTTTGTTTGATTTCACCAGTTTGATGAGCAGAGAAAAATACTGGTCTTGGCGTGGTAATTAAATAATTTGTCCAATGTTCTTGCAACATATTTGACCTAAAAATATTTATACAAGATATTTATAATGAATATATAAATAATAGTTAAAAAAAATATATCACCTACCATCCATCAGAAATCAAACAAATATAATCAGTTGATTTAATCAAATTATTTATTTCATCTTTTGTATCCTCATATACCGTGTCAAGTAATGTTGTTGATAAAGCTTTTCGTGAGGGCAATTTAAAACAAGGACGAAGTTTTTGAAAAAGAATTTTAATTGGTTCTAGTTCAGATAATGATAAGAATAATCCACATCGGTAAACTGCTTGTGCAAATAATAGTTCAGCTTCATTTTGTTCTGCTGAAGTTATTTTGTCAACAAAATTATTTATTGATTTTTGCGGTTGTTTCTTAATAGTAACAATATTATTTTGCTCTGTTGGTAAATGGGAATTAATACGTTGTTTTGCACTAAGTTTAAAATCTGGCCCAAAAAATCCTTGGAGAACTGTTATACTTGCACTTGAACAGGTTTTTAAATGTGCAATACATTTGTTAGCAGCAGCATTTAGTTCATGATTACAGTATTTGCATTGTGCACGGGCTTGCCGAAAACCAGCCACATGTCCAAGTTTATTAAAGTGAGCCCAAATAGGGCTAGTTGGAGGCATTTTTGAACTGATTGAACGAAGAAAAAAATTTTTTTTTTGTGAAAGATCTAATGTAATACAAATTTATTATAAATTCCATTTTTGTTAATTTATAATTTTGGCCGGAGTTAGGGTGTAAAGTTTACCAGAATTACAACTTATAATTTATTACAAAATTTATCATGCGCATAATGCGCATTATGCGCAATGCATAATAGCAACACATAATGCGCATGGCACATCTCTAGTCGCATGTGACTTGAACATTTATATTTATATTGTTGCATCGGAGTTATATGACTTTTTTAGTATTTATTTATTTTAAAAAAAAAGAAAATTTTGTAAGAAAATTTCATCATGTCTGCCTCTATTAATTCTGCTTTTGTTGTAGCTAATAGAGCAGCTAGCTTGAATGATGATGACATACACGAAAAATATGAATTTGTGAAACAAAAAATTCTTGACGATAATTCTCTTACAAAAAAAGAAAAAACTAAAGCAATAAGTATTTTAAATAATTCTTATGATATAGCAAAAGTTAGGTATAATTCAGGAACAAAAAGAATTTGTGAAAGTTGTAATCAAGAATGTTTGGCTACATTTTATTGTGAATATTGTGTTCAAAACTATTTAAAAGAAAATTTTCCATATTGGACGTCTGGAAATATTAGTGTTGACGTATTAATAATGAAATCATGCCAAATGAAAACTCTTTTTCCATATGGGATAATTGAATGGATTCCGTACGAAAAGCTTCAAAATATTAAATTTTTAACAAAAGGTGGATATTCTGAAATTTATACAGCAAATTGGATTAATGGAGGATATGTTGGGTGGCATACTAAAAAACAACAGTTAAAAAAACTTGGAAAAAGACAGAAAGTTATACTTAAAACATTAGGAAATGTTGGAAGTGAAAATAAAAGATGGTTTGATGAGGTTTGCAATCTAAATGTATTTAAAAGAAGTGATAATTAAACAATTAATATGTTAATACAAAATATTAAAATTTTTTAGGCTAAAATACATTTAACTATAAGTAATAAAAGCCTAGCTATAGTTCAATGTTACGGCTTAACACAAAATACATCAGATGGAAATTATATGCTTGTAATAAGAAAAATGGATATGGATTTAAGAAAATATTTACAACAAAATCACAATCAACTTACATGGGAAGAAAGGATTCAAATTACTTATGATATAATTTATTCACTTGATGACATTCATAGAGAAAAAGCAATTCATAGAGATTTGCATTCTAAGAATATATTATATAGTTACTATTATCAAATGTTTTACATTAGTGATCTTGGATTTTGTGGTCCAGCAAAGAAACCACCTAAAAGTATATATGGAAATCTTCCTTATATATATAGCACCTGAGGTTATTAATGGAAAAGAATATACTTTTAAATCCGATATTTATAGTGTCGCAATGCTTATGTGGGAAATTTCATCCGGGCGACCACCATTTATTAATTACGAACATGATTACGATCTTGCAATGAATATAATTAATGGTATTAGACCAAAAATTGTACCGGGAACTCCTTTAGAATATAAAAATTTAATAGAACAATGTTGGGATGTTGATCCATTAAAAAGACCTGATGTTTATACTCTTAAGAATGAAATAAAAAAAATTAATATTTCATACCAAAATAATCCAAGTAAATTAGTAGCAAATAATAATTTAAAAATAAATAAGTCAAATAGCTTGAAATCAAAAGATACAAATAGTGCATTATACACGAGTCAACTTCATCAATTTGAAAACTTATCTGAACCAAGAAATGCAACAGAAGGTATTGTAAAATACATTAATTAATATCTTTTTGTCTTAATAATATATTAATATGATATAATATTTCTTTTAATAATAATAGAAGAACTAGAAGGTATAATTGAAAATTTTCTATTTTGAAAATTTTAATTGTAATAGTCTCGAAATTTCATAGGTTGTATATCCTATTAAATAATTTTTTTACGATATCTTTAATTTTAACAGCATTTCACAGTAAATCCTATGATTTTGAAATCCCTGATAATAGTAAGTAATTATTAAATTTATAACAACGAATAATATATTTAAATATATATTTTTTTAAATTAATTTGCTGATAATTTTTTTATTTAGTCGAAGATTTTAATAAATCAAGTAGTCGTACTTTTAAAAGTATAATAATTTTATTCTTAATACATGAGTATTTTTTTTTTTATAATAGAAATAGCGATAGACAAATGAATAACAAAATTTTAATAATTTTAGATATCTCCAAAGTATTTGACATTGAAAAGCTGATAATTTTTTTATTTAGTCGAAGATTTTAATAAATCAAGTAGTCGTACTTTTAAAAGTATAATATTTTTATTCTTAATACATGAGTATTTTTTTTTTTATAATAGAAATAGCGATAGACAAATGAATAACAAAATTTTAATAATTTTAGATATCTCCAAAGTATTTGACATTGAAAAGCTTCAAAGCATGGTATGTATGATCGTTATTCATCAGTTACTACAGAATTTTTATTAATTATAAATTTTTTTCAGATATCCAAAATAACGAAGAAATAATACAACAACAAAATATATAGGAGCGTCATTTTAATACTGATTGGTAAGTAAAATAATTAAATTTTTATAAAATAAAATTATTTTTTATTTACTTATAGATAATGACAAAATTCTAATTTCTATTCAAAAATAATAAGAAAACCGAATTTAATCGTTAAAAAATTTTTTTTTGCATAATTATTTATTAGATACGAAAGAATTATAGATTAATAATAATATTTCAACATATAATTATTTAGATACGAAGGAATTATAAATTCAGATCAACATTTCAATATTACTATTTATTATAAAGTTTTTTTACAATTTATTTTTTTTATTACTTTATTTTATTATTTTTTACCATTTATATTTCAGCCGTTCTTACAATTTTCTTAATATGTAATTAAAATAAAATTGTCGTAGCTGTTCTGTGACTATGTTGAGATAAATAAAGTCAAATTGCACGATATGCTTCAGATTAATCATATTGACATTCATTAATATGATGTAATGATTATTAGATTATTTTTCTTTATTTTAATCTAATCATAACGTAGTATGTTATTAAATGTTACAGATCGATCAATGATATCATACTTAAATATTAGTATGCCTACATATGATGTCACACAATTTACCATGGGACTTCAATAACGAAAATGACCAAACAATTTTTAAATGAGCCTCTTAATAGATAATCAAATTCAATAATCAGGATCGGCAAAGTTGCATCATCAATATTCTCAAGGACAGTTTAAGATTAGTATACAAAAATATTTCAGAAAAATAAACAAAAAAAAAAGTAAATGCTTTAATTTTACGAAATCGTGAAAGACGGCTTTTCTTTTCGATAACTTCTTATAATATTTCTTGAGTTCCTTTTTTATCAATGGGACGCCTGCTGCTTCTACCCTCTTTTTTTGCTGCTTAAGGTCTTGAAAGGCGATCCTGCAACGTACGCACATATATATTTGAAATTGAAATACTGTACGTCCTTGATTATTTAATCCAGTTTTGTACCTTTCATCCATCACCAACTTTTTAAATTTATTTTGCTTTCCACCTTAAATTTTTATTTCTTTGTTTTTTTCAGGTCGAAGGTTAACACTAGTATCACATTTTAATTGGTGTATATATACTATATATTGTTTATATATAAAGCTAAAATAAATTTCATGATTAAAATCATTAATTTTGTAAATAATATTGATATACAGTCAACTCTCTATAAATGCACTACTTATAAGTGCATTCCCTTCTTAAATGCACACTTTGATTCAGTCCCAAGTATATATGACCTCTAATTATTTACTCTTTATAAATGCACACCCTTTGTAATCGCACGCTTTTATCCAGTCCCAAGGGGGGTGCATTTATAGAGAGTTGACTGTATGTTGTTTCAAACATTTATTTAACCGTCAATTATGATTTTATTGAATATTTAGGTTGATTTATGATTCGACTGCGTAATATCACGAAATTTATAATAAAAAATCGGGCATATAGTAACTAACAAAATTATTAATTGCGAACGATTGGTTTAAGAAAAAAAGTTTGTTATAATTCAAAATTGGTTTATCCCAAATTAAAATCGTATCGAGTTCTGGACTTTATGGAATTGTTACCTTTGCACAAAATTCTGACTTTTAGAAAAATTTGTGTGTAAAGGTAAAATGGAAAGTGTCAATAATACGGAATAAAGCATAGTCATTGTTACTAAATTGTTATTAAATTTAAAGAAGAATGTTACAGACAAGTTTATTTTGCAATATTATCATCAATACAATAATTATATTATTATAAGAGAAAAAAATATGAAAAATTAGATGATAAAAAATTTAATAATTTAATGATTTTTTTTTTTTTAAAAAAAAAATTTCTTTGAAGTGTAAATAATTGAGACAAATAATATATAAGTTTCATCATCTAATTTTTTTTCAACTTTTTCTTTTTCAAACGTGGATTTTCCTTTTTTTTAAAACAAAAGTATTGCAATAATTTTTCTCATATCGTACAGCAGTCGCATGTGACTTGAATATTTATATTTATCATCAGGAAATTGATTTGCACACCCTGAAAATGCACATTAATTGCATATTTAATATATATAATGTATTTTTCATACAATATATTGTAAAAAAAATGCGTTGATTTTTATATAAATTTGTACAAAGAATTATACATATAATATTGTTAATTATATTGCATAAATTTTGAGAAATTTAACTATTTGTGCAATATTGAATACCCTGAGAATTTTGTGATGATATGGTTGCACCGGCTCTTTTTAGCTATTTATTTATTTATTTTTTTTTTAAAAAAAAAATAAATTTTATAAGAAAATTTCGTCATGTCTTCCTCTATTGATTCTGCTTTTGTTGCAGTTAATAGAGCATATGATTTAATTGATGTTAATATTTGCGACAATATACATAAACAACATGAATTTATGAAACAAAAAATTCTTGAAGATAATTCTCTTACAAAAAAAGAAAAAACTAAAGCAACAAAAATTTTAAATGGCTCTTATGATAGGGATAAGATTGATTTTAATTCAGGAACAAAAAGAATTTGCGAAAGTTGTAATCAAGAATGTTTTGCTACATTTTATTGTGAATGTTGTATTCGAAATCATCTAAGAGTAAAATTTTCAAATTGGACGTCTGGAAATGCTGATATTAATAATTTAATCCAAAAATGTCAAATGGGGACACGAATTCCATTTAAAGTAATTGAATGGATTCCATATAATAGAATTAAAAACATTAAATTTTTAACAAAAGGTGGATACTCTGAAATTTATACAGCAGTTTGGATTGATGGAAGTTGCGATAAGTGGGATTCTAAAAAACAACAGTTTAAAAGATTTGGAAGAGTAAATGTTATACTTAAAACATTAGGAAATGTTGAAAGTGAAAATCAAAGATGGTTTGAAGAGGTTTGCAATCTAAATATATTTAAAGGAGTGATAATTAAACAATTAATATATTAATATAAAATATTAAAATTTTTAGGCTAAATCACATTTAACTATAAGCAATAAAAGGCCATCGATAGTTCAATGTTACGGGTTAACACGAAATACATCAAATGGAAATTATATGCTTGTAATAAGAAAAATGGATATGGATTTAAGAAAATATTTGCAACAAAATCATAATCAACTTACATGGAAAGAAAGGATTCAAATTACTTATGAAATAATTTTTGCACTTAATGATATCCATATAGAGAATGCAATTCATAGAGATTTGCATTCTAAGAATATATTACATAGTCACTATGTTCAAAGGTTTTACATTAGTGATTTTGGATTTTGTGGTCCAGCAAATAGACCATCAAAAAGTATATATGGAAATCTTCCTTATATAGCACCTGAGGTCATTAATGGAAAAGAATATACTTTTAAATCTGATATTTATAGTGTTGCAATGCTTATGTGGGAAATTTCATCAGGTCAACCACCGTTTATTAATTACGAACATGATTACGATCTTGCAATGAATATAATTAATGGTATTAGACCAAAAATTGTACCGGGAACTCCTTTAGAATATAAAAATTTAATAAAACAATGTTGGGATGCTGATCCATTGAAAAGACCTGATGTTTATACTCTGAAGAATGAAATAAAAAAAATTAATATTTTATACCAAAATAATCCAAGTAAATTAGTGGCAAATAATAATTTAAAAATAAATAAATCAAATAGCTTAAAATCAAAAGATACAAATAGTACATTGTATACGAGTAAACTTCATCAATTTGAAACCTTACCTGAACCAAGAAATGCAACAGAAGGTATTGTTAAATACATTAATTAAAATCTTTTTGTCTTAATAATATATTAATATAATATTTTATTTAATAATAATAGAAGAACTAGAAGGTATAATTGAAAATTTTCTATTTTGAAAATATTTTAATTGTAATAGTCTCGAAATTTCATAGGTTGTATATCGAGTATTAAATAATTTTTTTTATGATATCTTTAATTTTTAACAGCATTTCACAGTACACCATATGATTTTGAAATCCCTGATAATAGTAAGTAATTATTAAATTTATAACAATAATATATCTAATGTATTTTTTAAAAAATTAATTGGTTGATAATTTTTTTTATTTAGTCGAAGATTTTAATAAATCAAGTAGCCAGACTTTTAAAAGTATTATAATTTTATTCGTAATGCGTGAAAAATTTTTTTTTTTCATAATTGAAATAGACAAATGAATAACAAATTTTCATTAATTTTAGATAGCTTCAATGTATTTAACATTGAAAAGCTTCAAAGCATGGTATGTATGATCGTTATTCATCGGCAGTTACAAAAATTATATTAATTATGAATATTTTTTTTTCAGATGTCCAAATTAACGAAAAAATAATACTACAACAGAGAGTCATTTTGATATGATTTGTAAGTAAAATAATTATTTAAATTTTTTTACAAAATAAAATTATTTTTTATTTATAATCGCTAAAAGTTTTTTTACATAATTATTTATTAGATACGAAAGAATTATAGATTAAAAATAACATTGAAACATACTAATTAAAAGGATTGATTATAAATTCAAATCAACATTGCAGTATTATTTATTATGCAGTTTTATATAATTTATTTTTTTTATTCTTTGTTATTTATATACTTTATTTTATTATTTTTTACTATTTATATTACTTAAAACATTAAAATTGCTGATAAATAAAAGTCAATTTGCACGAGATGCTTCAGATTTAGTCATATACCAAAGAATTGACATTCATTAATACGATGTAATTATTAAATTATTTTTATTTTAATAGTAATCATAACGTGGTACGTACAGATATAATTAAATATCACTACGAATTAGTAAGGCTGCCTCGTCTACATATGATGTCACGCGCATTTTACCACAGGACTTTAATAACGAAAATGACCAAACAAATTTAAATGAGCCTCTTAATAAATAATCAAACCAAAGTTCAATCAGGATCGGCAAAGTTGCAAAGATTAGTAGTACACAGATAGAAAAATCTTTCAGAAAAATAAACTAAAAAAAAGTAAATGCTTTAATTTTATGAAATCGTGAAAGATGACTTTTCTTTTCGGTAACTTCTTGTAATGTTTCTTTTATTAATGGGCGCCTGCTGCTTCCTCTTTTTTTGCTGCTTAAGGTCTTGAAAGGCGATCCCGCAACGTACGCACATATATATTTGAACTTGAAATACTGTACATCCTTGACTATTTAATCCAGTTCATCCATCACCAACTTTTTAAATTTATTTTACTAGTACTTGCTTAGATTTAAATGTAGCATGATTAGAACTATTATCAAAAGTCAAAAAAATTCAAATCACCTTAGTTTTTTATTTCTTTGTTTTTTTCAGCAGGTCGAAGATTAATACTTAAAGATTTAAATCCGCCGTATACTATCACATTTTAATTGATGTATATATATAGTTATATATAAAGCTAAAATAAATTTCATAATTAAAATCATTAAATTTGTAAATAATATTGATATATGTTGTTTCAAACATTTATTTTTAACCGTCAATTATGATTTTATTTAAAATTTAGGTTGAATTATGATTCGACTGCGTAATATCACGAAATTTATAATAAAAAATCGGCATATATTAAACAAAATTATTAATTACAAACGATTGGTTTAAGAAAAAAGTTTGTTATAATTCAAAATTGGTTTATCCCAAATTAAAATCGTATCGAGTTCTGGACTTTATGAAATTGTTACTTTTGCACAAATTTCTGACTTTAGTAATGATATTACTTTTACATCACTAAATTTTTAGGGTATTCAATATTGCACAAATACTTAAATTTCTCAAAATTTATGCAACATAGTTAACAATATTATATATGTAATTTTTTGTACAATTTTTTACAATATACCACATAGAAAATTACTCAATATACTGTACATATTATATATATTAAATATGCAAATAATGTGCATTTTCAGGGTGTGCAAATCAGTTTTTTCATGCACGAAATTTTGCATATTTTCTACACATAAAAAATTTCCTGATGTAAGCGAACTAAAAATTTGTGTGAAGGTAAAGTGGAAAGTGTCAATAATACGGAATAAAGCATAGTCATTGCTATTATTAAATTTAAGAAGAATGTTACAGACAAGTTTATTTTGCAAATATTATTATTAACGAATACAATAATAAAATTATATGAAAAAAAAATATGAAAAAATAGATGAATAAGAATTTAATAATTTAATAATTTTTTTTTTTTTTTAAAAAAAAAAGAAGTGCAAATATTTGAACAAATAATACAAATAATATATATATAAGTTTCATCATCTAATTTTTTTTCTTTTTCAAACGTGGATTTTCCTTAAAGTATTGCAAGAATTTTTCTCCAATAAAATTCGTCAATCATATCAGGACCCGAGCAATATATAAATAGGTCATAGGAAATTGGAAAAATTTTACTATTAGCTCTACGCATTTTTTCAGGGCCGGAATTATGATAATGTTGGTCGGTTACTAAAATAAGTAATAAAAATCTGACCAACATTATCAAAAATTACTATCTAAAAAAGGAAAGATTTTCATGGTTATTTTGGCCTTTTCTACGCATTTTTTCCTATAACCTATTTCAGTATTGTTCGAGGTCCTATCACAGTCTCATCATGTGACTCAAACATTTATATTTATATGGTTACACCGGAGTTATATGACTTTTTTTAGCTATTATTTTTTTTTTTAAAAAAAAAAAAAAAATTTTGTAAGAAAATTTCACCATGTCTGCCTCTGTTAATTCTGCTTTTGTTGTAGCTAATAGAGCAGCTAATTTGAATGTTGATAATATACACGAAAAATATGAATTTGTGAAAAAAAAAAATTCTTGACGATAATTCTCTTACAAAAAAAGAAAAAACTGAAGCAATAAAAATTTTAAATAATTCTTACGACATAGCAAAGGTTGATCTTAATTCAGGAACAAAAAGAATTTGCGAAAGTTGTAATCAAGAATGTTTGGCTACATTTTATTGTGAATATTGTATTCGAATTCATCTAAGAGTAAAATTTTCGAATTGGACGTCTGGAAATGCTGATATTGATAATTTAATCCAAAAATGTCAAATGGAAACACTTGTGCCAACTATAATAATTGAATGGATTCCATATAATAGAATTGAGAATATTAAATTTTTAACAAAAGGTGGATATTCTAAAATTTATACAGCAGTTTGGATTGATGGAGGTTACAATGAGTGGGATTCTAAAAAACAACAGTTAAAAAGATTTGGAAGAGAAAATGTTATACTTAAAACATTAGGAAATGTTGAAAGTGAAAATCAAAGGTGGTTTGAAGAGGTTTGCAATCTAAATATATTTTTAAAGAAGTGATAATTAAACAATTAATATGTTAATACAAAATATTGAAATTTTTTAGGCTAAATCACATTTTACTATAAGTAACAAATGGTCATCTACAGTTCGATGTTACGGTTTAACACAAAATATATTAGATGGAAATTATATGCTTGTTATAAGAAAAATGGATATGGATTTAAGAAAATATTTACAACAAAATCATAATCAACTTACATGGAAAGAAAGGATTCAAATTACTTATGAAATAATTATTGCACTTAGTAGAATTCATGGAGAAAATGCAATTCATAGAGATTTGCATTCTAAGAATATATTACATAGTCACTATTATCAAAGGTTTTACATCAGTGATCTTGGATTTTGTGGTCCAGCAAATAGACCATCAAAAAGTATATATGGAAATCTTCCTTATATAGCACCCGAGATTATTAATGGAAAAGGATATACTTTTAAATCTGATATTTATAGTTTTGCAATGCTTATGTGGGAAATTTCATCAGGTCAACCACCGTTTATTAATTACGAACATGATTACGATCTTGCAATGAAAATAATTAATGGTATTAGACCAAAAATTGTACCGGGAACCCCTTTAGAATATAAAAAGTTAATAGAACAATGTTGGGACGCTGATCCATCAAAAAGACTTGATATTTATACTCTTTGGAATGAAATTAGAAATATTAATATTTCATACCAAAATAATCCAAGTAAATTAGCAGCAAATAATAATTTAAAAATAAATAAATCAAATACTAGCTTAAAATCAAAAGATACAAATAGTGCATTGTATACGAGTAAACTTCATCAATTTGAAAACTTACCTGAACCAAGAAATGCAACAGAAGGTATTGTTAATTACATTATTTAAATTTTTTTTGTCTTAATAATATATTAATAGAATATTTTTTTTTAAATAATAATAGAAGAACTAGAAGGTATAATTGAAAATTTTCTATTTTGAAAAATTTTAATTGTAATAGTCTCGAAATTTCATGGCTTGTATATCGACTATTAAATAATTTTTTTACGATATCTTTAATTTTTTAACAGCACTTCACAGTAAATCCCATGATCTTGAAATCCCTGATAATAGTAAGTAATTATTAAATTTATAATAAATAATATATTTAATATATTTTTTTAAATTAATTGGTTGATAATTTTTTTTTATTTAGTCGAAGCTTTTAATAAATCAAGTAGTCGGACTTTTAAAAGTATTATAATTTTATTCGTAATACGTGAAATTTTTTTTTTTCATAATTGAAATAGAAAAACGAATAACAAATTTTTAATAATTTTAGGAAGCTCCAAAATATTTAACATTAAAAAGCTTCAAAGCATGGTATGTATGATCGTTGTTCATCTTACAAAAATTTTATTAATTATGAATATTTTTTTTTCAAATTAACGAAGAAATAATACATACTAGAAGCGTCATTTTGATATGATTGGTAAGTAAAATAATTATTTTACAAAATAAAATTATTTTTTATTTACTTGTTGTAGATAATGACAAAATTCTAATTTCTATTCAAAAATAATAAGACGAATTTAATCGCTAAAAAAATTTTTTTTTATATAATATTTATTAGATACGAAAGAATTATAACTAAATTCAGATCAACATTGCAATATTATTTATTATAGAGTTTTTATTTTTTTTATTATTTGCTTTTTATATACTTTATTTTATTATTTTTTACCATTTATATTTTAGCCGTTCTTACAATTTTCTTAATATGTAATTTAAAATAAAATTGCCGAAGCTGTTTTGTGACTATATTGAGATAAATAAAAGTCAATTTGAACGAGATGCTTTAGATTAATCATATTGACATTCATTAATATGATGTAATGATTATTACTAGATTATTTTTCTTTATTTTAATCTAATCATAACACTATGATCATAACGTAGTATGTTACAGATCGATCAATGATATACTTAAATATCACTACGAATTAGTACGCCTACATATGATGTCACGCGCAATTTACCACGGGAAATAACGAAAATGACCAAACAATTTTTAAATGACCTCTTAATAGATAATCAACCAAAATTCAATCATGATCGGCAAAGTTGCATCATCAAAGATTAGTACACGTCATTAGCTCTTCCGTTCTTATTTCATTTTACCGCCAGGAAATCTTTCAGAAAAATAAACAAAAAAAAAGTAAATGCTTTAATTTTACGAAATCGGGAAAGACGATTTTCTTTTCGATAACTTCTTATAATATTTCTTGGGTTTCTTTTTTTATCAATGGGACGCCTGTTGCTTCTACCCTCTTTTTTTGCTGCTTAAGGAACGCACATATATATTTGAAATTGAAATACTGTACATCCTTGACTATTTAATCCAGTTCTGTAGTCTGTATCTTTCCATCACCAATTTTTTTAAATTTATTTTACTTGCTACTAACGTATTAGATTTAAATGTGGCATGATTAGAACTATTATCAAAAAGTCAAAAAATTCAAATCACCTTAGTTTTTTTACTTCTTTGTTTTTTTCAGATCGAAGATTAACACTTAAAGTTAATAATGGATTTAGATCCGCAGGATATCACATTTTAATTGGTGTCAGTATATATATTGTTTATATATAAAGCTAAAATAAATTTCCAATAAAATTCGTCAATCATATCGTACAGACTACAGAGTACATCAATCGCATGTGACTTGAACATTTATACTTATATGGTTGCACCGGGCTTTTTTTAGCTATTTATTTTTTTTTTTTTAAAAAAAAAAAATAAATTTTATTAGAAAACTTCGTCATGACTACCTCTATTGATTCTACTTTTGTTGCAGTTAATAGAGCATTTGATTTAATTGATGATAATATTTACGACAATATACATAAACAACATGAATTTGTGAAACAAAAAATTCTTGGAGATAATTCTCTTACAAAAAAAGAAAAAACTGAAGCAATAAGGATTTTAATTAATTCTTATGATAGAACAAAAGTTAGTTCTAATTCAGGAATAAAAAGAATTTGTGAAAGTTGTAATCAAGAATGTTTGGCTACATCTTATTGTGAATATTGTGTTCGAAATCATATGAGAGTAAAATTTTCAAATTGGACGTCTGGAAATGCTGATATTGATGATTTAATCCAAAAATGTCAAATGGAAACACTTTTGCCAAATACGATAATTGAATGGATTCCATATAATAGAATTAAAAATATTAAATTTTTAACAAAAGGTGGATACTCTGAAATTTATACAGCAGTTTGGATTGATGGATGTTACGATAATTGGGATTCTAAAAAACAACAGTTAAAAAGATTTGGAAGACATAATGTTATACTTAAAACATTAGGAAATGTTGAAAGTGAAAATCAAAGATGGTTTGAAGAGGTTTGCAATCTAAATGTATTTACTATTTAAAGAAGTGATAATTAAACAATTAATATCATGTTAATACAAATTTTAAAATTTTTTAGGCTAAATCACATTTGACTATAAGTAATAGAAGGCCATCTATAGTTCAATGTTACGGTTTAACACAAAATACATTAGATGGAAATTATATGTTTGTATTAAGAAAAATGAATATAGATTTAAGAAAATATTTGCAACAAAATCATAATCAACTTACGTGGGAAGAAAGGATTCAAATTACTCATGAAATAATTCTTGCACTTGATAGAATCCATAGAGAAAATGCAATTCATAGAGATTTACATTCTAAGAATATATTACATAGTCGCTATGTTCAAAGGTTTTACATTAGTGATCTTGGATTTTGTGGTCCAGCAAATAGGCCATCAAAAAGTATATATGGAAATCTTCCTTATATAGCACCTGAGGTCATTAATGGAAAAGAATATACTTTTAAGTCTGATATTTATAGTGCTGCAATGCTTATGTGGGAAATTTCATCAGGTCAACCACCGTTTATTAATTACGAACATGATTACGATCTTGCAATGAATATAATTGATGGTATTAGACCAAAAATTGTACCGGGAACTCCTTTAGAATATAAAAATTTAATAGAACAATGTTGGAATGCTGATCCATTAAAAAGACCTGATGCTTATACTCTGCTGGATGAAATAAAAAAAATTAATATTTTATACCAAAATAATCCAAGTAAATTAGCAGCAAATAATAATTTAAAAATAAATAAATCAAATAGCTTAAATTCAAAAGATACAAATAGTGCATTGTATACGAGTAAACTTCATCAATTTGAAAACTTACCTGAACCAAGAAATGCAACAGAAGGTATTGTTAATTACATTAATTAAAATCTTGTCTTAATAATATATTAATATAATATTTCTTTTAATAATAATAGAAGAACTAGAAGGTATAATTGAAAATTTTTTATTTTGAAAAATTTTAATTGTAATAATCTCGAAATTTCATAGATTGTAACATATCGACTATTAAATAATTTTTTTTTACGATATCTTTAATTTTTAACAGCATTTCACAGTAAATCCTATGATTTTGAAATCCCTGATAATAGTAAGTAATTATTTTAAAATTTATAACAATAATATATCTAATATGTTTTTTTTAAAATTAATTGGTTAATTTTTTTTTATTTAGTCGAAGATTTTGATAAATCAAGTAGTCGAACTTTTAAAAGTATTATAATTTTATTCGTAATACGTGAAAAAATTTTTTTTTCATAATTGAAATAGACAAACGAATAACAAATTTTTAATAATTTTAGGTAGTTCTAAAGTATTTAATATTGAAAAGCTTCAAAGCATGGTATGTATGATCGTTATTCATCAGTTACAAAAATTTTATTAATTATGAATACTTTTTTTCAGATGTGCAAATTAACGAAGAAATAATACTACAACAAAATATATAGAAGCGTCATTTTGATATGATTGGTAAGTAAAATAATTATTACAAAATAAAATTATTTTTTATTTACTTGTTTTAGATAATGACAAAATTCTAATCGCTAAAAAATTTTTTTTTACATAATTACTATTTAATATTTATTAGATATAACATTGCAACATACTAATTAAAAGGATTGATTATAAATTCAAATCAACATTGCAATATTATTATTATGCAGTTTTATATAATTTATTTTTTTTTGTTCCTTTTATTTATATACTTTATTTTAATTATTTTTTACTATTTATATTACTTAAACACTAAAATTTTAGCTGTTCTCACAATTTTCTTAATTTGTAATTTAAATTAAAATTGCTGATAAATAAAAGTCAATTTGCACGAGTTAGTCATATACCAAAGAATTGACATTCATTAATGTGATGTAATTATTAGATTATTTTTTTTTATTTTAATCTAAATAGTAATCATAACGACAGATCGGTCAATCATCAATGATATACAAATATCACTACGAATGAATTAGTAAGGCTGCCTCGCCTACATATGATGTCACGCGCAATTTACCACGGGACTTCAATAACGAAAATGACCAAACAATTTAAATCTCTTAATAGATAATCAAACCAAAATACAATCATAATCGGCAAAGTTGCATCATCAATATTCTCTAGGACAGTTTAAGATTAGTATACAGAAAAATATTTCAGAAAATAAACAAAAAAAAAAGTAAATGCTTTAATTTTACGAAATCGTGAAAGACGGCCTTTCTTTTCGATAACTTCTTATAATATTTCTTGGGTTTTTTTTTTATCAATGGGACGCCTGCTGCTTCTACCCTCTTTTTTTGCTGCTTAAGGTCTTGAAAGGCGATCCCGCAACGTACGCACATATATATTTGAAATTGAAATACTATACATCCTTGACTATTTAATCCAGTTCTGTAGTCTGTACCTTTCCATCACCAACTTTTTAAATTTATTTTACTTGTTACTAACGCACTAGATTTAAATGTAGCATGATTAGAACTATTATCAAAAAGTCAAAAAAATTCAAATCACCTTAGTTTTTTATTTCTTTGTTTTTTTCAGGTCGAAGATTAACACTTAGAGTTAGATCCGCCGGATATCACATTTTAATTGGTGTATATATATTGTTTATATATAAAGCTAAAATAAATTTCATGACTAAAATCATTAATTTTGTAAATAATATTAATATGTTATTTCAAACATTTATTTTTAACCGTCAATTATGATTTTATTGAATATTTAGGTTGATTTATGATTCGACTGCGTAATATCACGAAATTTATAATAAAAAATCGGGCATATAGTAACTAACAAAATTATTAATTACAAACGATTGGTTTAAGAAAAAAAGTTAGTTATAATTCAAAATTGGTTTATCCCAAATTAAAATCGTATCGAGTTCTGGACTTTATGGAATTGTTACTTTTTTGCACAAAATTCTGACTTTTAGTAATGATATTACTTTTTAAGTGAATTAAAAATTTGTGTGTAAAGGTAAAATGGAAAGTGTCAATAATATGGAATAAAGCACAATCATTATTATTAAATTGTTATTAAATTTAAAGAAGAATGTTACAGACAAGTTTATTTTGCAAAATATTATTATCAAT